TCTCTGATAAAAAACAGATGGCTCCAGATGTGGCAGAAGTAAACACTCTGTGTTTTTCCAAAGCCTCCTTCAACTTCCCCAACTTGTTGGACTCGCAGTTGCCCAACGAAAATGTGATCTCCTTAGGGACGGTGGCAACCCCCTCCGATAGACTTGCACTCATTGGGAACATGGAGGGTTTCTTAAAGAGAATGAAGGAAGATGGTGCCACGTCCAGTATCAAAACTTTCACACTGCTAGCTGAGCTGGTGCAGCCCAACAGCCAGTCAGAGTCTTCCTTATTGACGGTAATGGAGGAGCACAACGTGAAACCAGATATAACTTTTTTTAATACCTTGGTGAGGAAGAAGAGCAAAGGAGGAGATCTGGAAGGAGCAAAGGTAAGATCACGGGCATATGAGTGTGTGTGGGTCAGGGAAGGACAGTCTTCAGGCTTGCAGGAACTACTGTTTTTTTACCAAAACCTGATACATTTTCTGCCCACCCACTGGTGTAGTCCATGACCTTTTGGAGAACAGTGATGACTAAGAAGTACAGCTACTTTGCATGCAAAAAGTCCCAGGATCAATCCCTAGCATTTCCAGGTAGGACTGGGACAGAACCTTGTCTGAAATCCGGTCGGTGTAGTAGCCAGTATTGAGCTTAATTGGCCGATGGTCTGACTGAATGTAAGGCAACTTCCAGTGTTCAGTTAGCTTCATTCGTGCACATTGCACGTCCTCTCAACATGAACTTGAACAGGTAATCTGGACAGCTGTTCTCACATGCCTTTGTATATTACAGAGCCTGCTGCCTCTAGTGCTGAAGGAGGGACTTTCTCCCAATCTACAGACGTTTTGCAACTTGGCAATAGCCTGCCGCAAAAAAGAGGATGGGCTGCAGTTACTCTCAGACATGAAGGTACAGAAAACTCAAGCTTTTGAAGCTGTTCTGCATGCGGCAGACCTGGTGGTTTTGATGGCTACATGTTAATGAGTTCTGTTAACATAAGGGGATCTTGTCTTTCAGCCTTCCGGTCGGTGGCCGTTGCAATCAGTTGTGTAGTTTTGCAAATCCCCGTCTCCCCAGCTTTGGGAGCAGTAATCTTGTTATACTGTGAGACTCCTAGATGTGTGTGTAAGGACTTCAGAATTACCTTTGTCTGAGAGTTTGGGGCTGTGTTTTTCAGCGTTCTGGAATAAACCCCAATGTACAGATCTATGGTGCGCTTGTAACTGCAGCTGTGAAGAGACTGGACTACGCCTACCTCACAGAGATCCTTGCAGATATGAGTAGAAACCGTGTTCCTCCAAATGAAGTTGTCCTACGCCAGCTGGAGTTTGCAGCCCAGTATCCTCCTAACTTTGATAGGGTGAGGTAACCTTTTGTTTTCTGCAGAAGCTGATTTATACTCGAGAGAATTAAGACCACATATTATATGCACAGTTCTTTGAACACCCTTGCAGTTCTGTGTCCTCTGCACATTTACCCAGATTGCACCCAGTTAAGTGTGCATCAGCCTTCTCCCAAAATATTCCTTTCCACATATTTGCAATCAAACTCTCATCAGCCCCAGCCAGCATACCGTATTTTTCGCACCATAGGACGCACCGGACAATAGGACGCACCTTGTTTTAGAGGGGGGAGAACAAGAAAAAAAAATCTCTCCCTCTCTGCCCAGCGCCCCTTCAGCGAAGCGGCAGGAGGCGCTGCACAGAGAGGGGGAGAATTTCCCCCCTCTTGTTTTCCCCCTCTAAAACAAGGTGCCGTTTAAGGTGCGTTCAGACACCTTCAGGCGGCTACCTTGGAAGCCTGGAGAGCGAGAGGGGTCGGTGTGCACCGACCCCTCTCACTCTCCAGGCTTCAGGTTCCTTTCGACCTGCTCTTTGAGGCTGGCGGAGGGAAGCCCACCACCAGCCCCAAAGAGCAGGTCGGGGAGCAGCGCAAAGACGCGCGGCCATAGAGGCTCCTGCCATAGCCGCATGTCACGTCTCCAGCCGGGAGAGGGTCGCGGGGGGCTTCTTTAGCCCCGTGCGTGCTCTCCCGGCTGGAGAGATGGCGTGTGGCTAAAGAGGCTGCTGCAATTGCTGCGTGTCACCTCTCCAGCTGGGAGAGGGTAAGCGGGGCTTCTTTAGCGCGCGCAGGGCTTAAGAAGCCCCCATCGACCCTCTCCTGGCTGGAGAGGTGGCACACGGCTATAGAGGCTCCTGCCATAGCCGCGCGTCACCTCTCCAGCCGGCAGAGGGTCGCGGGGCTATGCTGTCTTCGCTCCATAGGACGCACACACATTCCCCCTTCATTTTTGAAGGGGGGAAAGTGCGTCCTATGGTGCGAAAAATATGGTAATTTAGTAGTCAGGGATAATGGTTGGGCACCAGGTTGAGGAAGAAAAATGTATAGGATTGCTAAGTGACTGCAAGTATGCTGTATCTAAAGAAAGGCCATTATACCAGCATCTACCTAATTGGATAAAGGTCTTCTCCATACAAGTTCTGAAGTGTGTCTTGCACCAATGGTATTAATTTCAGTTGACAGTTGAAAATGTACTATTTACCCAGACCATGGGACAAGGTGAGAGGTTAGATGAGCCAGTGTGGTGTAGTGGTTAAGAGCGGTAGTCTCGTAATCTGGGGAACCGGGTTCGCGTCTTCGCTCCTCCACATGCAGCTGCTGGGTGACCTTGGGCCAGTCACACTTCTCTGAAGTCTCTCAGCCCCACTCACCTCACAGAGTGTTTGTTGTGGGGGAGGAAGGGGAAGGGGAATGTTAGCCACTTTGAGACTCCTTAAAGGGAGTGAAAGGCGGGATATCAAATCCAAACTCTTCCTCTTCTTCTTCTTCTTCTTCTTCTTCTTCTTCTTATTATTATTATTATTATTATTATTAGTATTATTCATTGCATGTTTTAATTCAACACTGATACTGTGTTTTCTGCAGAAATGTTTATACACCATTGGGTTGTATTCAGTGATATTCCTACGCATTGAAATCTATGGACATGACTTGTTCACTAATTTTAATGGGTATGGGCAACATTAGCTACAGCCCTTTAATTTGTTTAATGCTATGAATTACTGCCCTAGGGCTATTTGATGAAACGTGAGAAATCCAATAGTTTCCAGTTTATCTCACCTGTGCTCTTTAAGAGACCACCAAACACAACTGCACCTGGTAACACTTCTAGATCCCATTGATTCCAGCAGAAGAGAGTTTAAGCACTTGCTTCCCTCTACAGACACTTTTTAATACCAGCACACTCCTCCACAACTTCCAAATAAAAGCAGCAAAAGATTATGTAAGCTCCTGGCAAGTCTGAGAAGCAGTTTCTCACTTCTTAGAGTAGAACTAATCTTCTCTTGCTATTACAGAGTGTTAATTCTCTCCTCCTTTTCCTCTTGCAGTACAAAACAAAGGACTATTACCTGGAGAAAATTAATGGCTTTCGATCCTACTACTTCCGCTGGCTGAAGTGGATGGAGGCAGAAGAAACACCACACCCTTGGGCAAAATACAGAACTCCCAAGCAGCCAGAAAACAAACATAATACAGAAGATGCTCAAAACTACAGCAGCCAGAGGAGGCGGTAGAAAAATAAAACCAATGCTAATACTCCATAGTGGTGTTGGAAAGTTCCTTTTGCCTTCATTTTGTGCCAGCATTCTTGTCCACATTGGCTTTAGAAATTTTTTTTACAAAAAAAGGGAGTGAATACTGCTACTCAGACGCAAGCCCTGCTATGTTCAGTGGGATTTACTGCCAAGGAGGTTTTTATAGCAGTTGTGGGGAACCTTTAGCTCTTCAGATATCAAACTTCAACTGCCATCATCCCTGGCTAATAGTGGAATATTTGGAATGCCAAACGTTTTCCCTTCCTGATTTATAGGGTTGCGACAGAAATGAAGACTCACACATTGCAGTATGAACTGTTGTAATAAAGGGTCCCTCTTGATAAAAGTTATTTTTTTGTATTTTCTGCTCTTAATGAGACTTAGGGCTTTTTCCCTTTAGTTCCAGAAGGGTGGCCACCCCCCATTTTCATGCAAGTATGAAATTTTATATTGGATGCAAAATTTTGCTTCCTTAAGTTACCTTGGTTTTCATTATTAAAACACAAGTTTATAGGGTGTGAGATTTTAAATATAAGCCTGAAGGCATAGGCAATTCCTATAAAAAGTCTTGGTGCACAGGTAAACGGAAAGCTTGAGTTTTATTGGGTATTTGAGAATGAGGGGGATTGTATCTCCTCTAAACAAGCAGCAGTTTAGCAAACTTACACAGGTCCTTTGTCCCACTTTATTGCTAATTGGCAGGCCTCCTGGGGAAGTATAACATATTTAAAGCCACCCTTACGTCCTCTCCCACCCAATATAAGTAAGGTGATGTAAGTAGTTAAAGGTAAAGGTACCCCTGCCCGTACGGGCCAGTCTTGACAGACTCTAGGGTTGTGCGCCCATCTCACTCAAGAGGCCGGGGGCCAGCGCTGTCCGCAGACACTTCCGGGTCACATGGCCAGCGTGACGAAGCTGCTCTGGCGAGCCAGCGGAGCACACGGAAACGCCGTTTACCTTCCCGCCAGTAAGCGGTCCCTATTTATCTACTTGCACCCGGGGGTATTTTTGAACTGCTAGGTTGGCAGGCGCTGGGACCGAACGACGGGAGCACACCCCGCTGCAGGGATTCGAACCGCCGACCTTTCGATCGGCAAGCCCTAGGCGCTGAGGCTTTTACCCACAGCGCCACCCGCGTCCCTGTAAGTAGTTATTTATATATATATTGCCCTTGTCTCCATGCATAAGAAATAAGCCCTCCATTGTTTCATTTCTTTAATGGATTGATGCATAATCTGAATTAACTCATGTCTACCAATCCAATATTACTAAGCATAATTATTAAACAACTTTATCCCCATGTTTCCAAATTATCCCTGGAAAAAGGAGGGTCCAGTTTCATTTATGTTCTTTATTATGAAAGCAAATTCATAAAGGTAACAGTGGCAGCACAGAATTAAACAAACCACCTTCAGGCAATAGGCAAGACTTTATTTTAAAATAAAGTAGTTATACAAGACATTAATACTACTGCATTTACAATTCAGGTTGTTGGAGATCCACTCACCGCCGGGTCTTACGACAAACAAATTATGGTTCTTATTAACAGTCATTGACGATGAACCAGCCATTTAAGAACTCCTCAAAAGGGAAGGGTAACTTTTAAAAAGGGGGAAAGGGGATTTCATCCAGAGCAGCCTCTGCACCCACAGTGAGTGCACTCAATTATTCTTCCCTGTAGAATGAAATCAGCATGTTAGTCACAGCAGACCCCTGAGCACACAATAGAGCAAGAAAAAAAGGAAATTTTGCTGGTTAGGAAAACTTACAGGATTGCAACAAATGAGAACAGATACACTGTTTCCTACTGCCTTTCATACTACTGTTGCAGGGTGGAGCATTTATTACAAGAACCAAATTTTTAAAAAGATAGGAGTCTCTCAAAACTGCAAGTACAGTCTTATAACTTGCTTGTTTTTAAAAGACCCTTAAGATGTCAGAGTGCTAGAAAAGCCAGGAGATGAGACTGCAAATCTTTTTACAGCCTTTCTTTGATTTGCAGAAGTTTTAGAGTAAGAGACACACACACTGACACGATGGGTGGTCAGTTTTGAAGCAACATTTTTGGTGGAACCGCAAGAGGTGGTGGTGGTTAATTATTATTATTAGTTGAATTTATATACCGCCCTATACTCAGAGGTCTCAGAGCGGTTCACAGAAAAGATCAATGTAAAAAATTAATAATACAGTGGTGCCTTGCAAGACGAAATTAATTCGTTCCGCAATTTTTTTCGTCTTGCGAAGCACAGTGTCGGAAAAGTTTTGGAAAAGCTTCAAAAATCACCAAAGTCTTCAAAAACCTCAAAAAAGGCTACCACACCGAGTGCTATGAGTTGCTCCTCGAAGTCAAGTCGCAACTGTATTAACGGTGTTAAGAAAAAGGAAACAAACTTGCAAGACGTTTCCGTCTTGCGAAGCAAGCCCATAGGGGAAATCGCCTTGCGAAGCAGCTCAAAAAACCAAAAACCCTTTCGTCTTGCGAGTTTTCCGTCTTGCGAGGCATTCGTCTTGCGAGGTACCACTGTAATTCAATCAATCTGTATACCCATAGATCTCCGAGCGGCTCACAACTTAACAGGATGAGGTTGTTCATCCAGTCCTACTAAGTTGAATGGCCAACTGTCCCCAAGGAGAAAGTTCAGAGACAGACAAGGTCTCTAGCAAGAGGAGTAACAAACACTTGCCTTTCACGTGGTTTGGATTTCCAGGGGTCACACTGCTACTTATTTGCATGAACCAGGTTTGGGGGGGGGGGGATGCACAAAAAGGCAAAAGAAATGGGACACAGAAAGAATTGTTGTAATGACCCAGGGGGCTTATTGAAAACAACATTCTTACCACTTCCAGCTTGCTTTTGGGCACTCTGCAGATGCAGTTGGTTCCAAAGTTGGTATCTCGGGTCTGGATGCAGCGCAAACAGCAGAGGTTTTCGTAACCTTGTTTCTTCCACTTTGCAATTAAGTTTTTGTCTGCATATCCTTCTTTAATGCAATACTCATACAGCTCTGTGCAGGAGAGAGGATGGGATAATTAGAATGCTCAGTAGTGGCAAACAAAAATGACTACCCCTTTGGCAGAATTTGCTCACACCTACATTCTAAAAGGGGCGCGGGTGGCGCTGTGGGTTAAATCACAGAGCCTAGGACTTGCCGATCAGAAGGTCGGTGGTTCAAATCCCCGCGACGGGGTGAGCTCCCATTGCTCTGTCCCTGCTCCTGCCAACCTAGCAGTTCGAAAGCACGTCAAAGTGCAAGTAGATAAATAGGTACCGCTCTGGCGGGAAGGTAAACGGCGTTTCTGTGTGCTGCTCTGGTTCACCAGAAGCGGCTTAGTCATGCTGGCCACATGACCCGGAAGCTGTCTGCGGACAAACGCCGGCTCCCTCGACCTATAGAGCAAGATGAGCGTGCAACCCCAGAGTCGGTCACGAGTGGACCTAATGGTCAGGGGTCCCTTTACCTTTACCTTACATTCTAAAAAGGTTAGTATTTCTTTTTCCATTTGACAGACCAGCTCAAGCAGATTTCCCAGCCATACTGAACAAAACATACATTTCCCCCTAAAAGATCAAAGACAGCTGTGTTACCTCTACTGATGGCTTTTCTCTTATAGAAGAGATCAAAAATGTAACGTGTTTTCTGGTGGTGAATTCTGAAGATAGGCCAGAGAGATTCTACTTTCCTCTTCCCTTCATGCGGTTCAGTCTCAGCTGAAGAAAAGTGGGGAAAGGGGCAGAAAACATGTTAATTTTGCCCGCTAATTCAAATGTTCATTACGTCTCCATTATTTCATGTTGCTAAAAACAAGGAAGAAATCCTATAATATTCTGATAAATAGGATGTGAGAATTCATTGGAGAATATATGCTATAGTTTTCTATTCTCATGTAGTTTTGCAAGCTGAACCAACAAATGTTTTCAGTCATCACATTTAACCTGCAGTATCTAAAGGTGATTTGTACTTGGATCACTACCCATGCAGTAATTTTCTAAGTTCTTAGCCAGAACTGTTCCCATTCCCGATACCATTTTAATTGATGCAAGATTAACAAAGATGAATCATCTCTGTGAACGTGAGTGGTACCTTTTAAGTCCACAGTCCAATCTAGAACAGAATTCAAGGAATGTAAAGTCTCTGTTTCTGTCTTTTGGTTTTTATTTTCAGTCGTAAGTGTAGGGGGGGGGAATCTGTTCCTTTCAACTGGTCTTTTTTTTTTTTCCTTTTAAAAGGGAACCCCCAAAGGTAGGTACAATTCCCAGGGTTTTACAAGCATTTCTGGTAAGCACAATTTCTTTGCCAAATTATATGTACAACTGAGAAGACTAGGTGCTAACTAATAATTAGCATAAAAACTTCCAGCCTTGGCAGGTTTATATTTGACACCTCGAAACTGCTGGCCTGTGAGGCTTTGTAAATTCCACTTCTGACCTTCAATACTCTGGTCTTTCCCATCAAAAGCCTTATCCCCTTTTTCTTCTGTTTACTTAATTATTGGCTGAAGGACACTGAAAAGGCTTCTGATATCCACCATTAAGCCAATATCAGCTGTTAAGTATACCATAATTTAAAGTAAAAAAAAACCAACCAAACGAACTACCTGTCCTCTTTTCAAAGCCATACAAAGAGAGGGGAATATGGAAAAAAAGGAAAGCAGTAAATATCTCTTGCTTAAACTGCACAGTTCTTACTGCACAGTCAAAACACCATTAATAACTGCAGAGTGCCAAATAAATGCACCTTATCTCAACACTATCTTTCTGAGATCTCTATTTTAACTGAAGATGTCCTGTACTGAACTTGGGATCTGTGTACAAACCACCATGGGCTTCCTATACTGAATGTGCCAAAAAGGCCAGCTCATATACTGTTCTATTACACAATTCATGCTCGCAGCCAAATTAGTACTCTGCTACTCACCTTCTCTCATTTTTTGATCTAGTTCATCTAAGGTTGGTTCAATCAATTCCCAGCCGTCTGGAGGTGGTTTTCTACTCCTCTTCACCTTGGGCATCTTGTCAGCACAGAGGGAGGGAAATCTGGAAAAAAATAAGGGAGTAATAAAATGTGTACCACTATAAATTAGAGTACTCTGGATAATATGTTCCTTTTACATATTTTTGAACCAGGTGTCTGAATACCCTAAGTTCTCCCCCATAGCATTAACAACCAAAAGACACCCCCCCCCAATTTCCCTTGGGTTATCTGAACATATACTCTGTTTCTTTATTAATTGATTGTTATTAAATTTATATACGTATTGCCCTTCATCTGAAGATCACAGGGCACTTTATAAGAAAACAAAATGCATAACAACAACAATGCCCCCAGAAACATTTAAAAGGCCATAGATTGGCCTTTTAGCACCAGGGCAGGTCAACCTAGAAGGAGGCACCGCTTAATGTATCGGTGCCCGAATCTATTGTTTCATGCAGCCATGGGGAACCTGTGGCTCTCTGGATGCTGCTGCTGGACGCCAACTCCCAGGGCCGGATTTACGTAGAAGCTAAACAAGCTTAGGGCCCCACTCTCTAGGGGGCCCCCAAAAAATTTAAAGGGGGAAAAAACTGGATGTACATTTCCAAAATATAAGATATAAAACAAATAAAATGGCTTTAGATACCTATTAGGTCCATAAATTACCATACAGCTTATATTCAACACAAAAAACAGCGACGATTTGTTGTTGACAAAGCCAGCTGGAGATATAACGGGCCCCATCACCTTCAGGAGCTTAGGGCCTCATCAAACCTAAATCCGGCCCTGCCAACCCCCCTCATCCCTGCTGGCCACGGTGGCCGGGGCTAGTTAGAGTTGGGAATTCAGAAACACCCAGAGAGCAAGAGGTTCTCCAAGCCTGCTTTAATGGCTGCAGAGCAGGCAGAAATCCAACAGGTGAAACCTTTGCCCGGCAGGATGCCCTCCTCATAAATTCCTGCCTGCCACACGCCACTGGAGGCCCTTAGCCAAAAAAAAGTGCGCCGGCCAGAAAGAGAACTCGTCAAATGAAGGGCCTGCGACCCCCACCCTCCCCTAGAGAGCCCCCAAAGGAACAGCTCCTACGCTTCTGGAGACTTGTTTCTTCCGCTCTCTTCCGCCTCTTCGAAGCTCTCCGTCGCCTCGCGATGACGTCCCCGCGACGAGAAAGGCCCTCCCTCCGCGTCTGCGTCACGATAAGGTCTTCCCTCTGCGGTTGTCCTCGCTGACGCCTGTCTAGAAGTCACCTCGCGGATGGCGGCCGGAGCCTCGGGGCGAGGCAGGCGGACCGCACGAAGCCTCTCGGCGGACGCGGAGTGCGCTTTGTAATTTCGAGCTTTCCGTCAGGCGGCGCCGAGGACAGCCGCCGTTTCTCGACGCCGGCATCCCGCCGGCCAGGCCCCGAAGGCAGCGCGTGTCCGCCAGCTCTCTCGCGCACGAAACGTGTATCAGAGAGAGAGAGAGAGAGGAGGGGGGGACCATAGACTCGAGGAGCGCAGGGCCGGCTCCACTTCCGCTTCCGGGTCGCTGCAAAAGCTCGGGGCGAAGTGAGGAGGGGGAGGAAAGAGTCGCTTGTAGCCGGAGCCGCCGCCATCGTCCTCGCTATGCCCAAAGGAGGTGAGCCCGGCCGGGAGGGGAGGCCCAGGGGCCGGCCGCGGCCTTGTGGCCTGGCCCTGAGGGGTGAAGGAGGAGGCGGGAGCGGGGAGCCCCCTGCCATCTTGGGCTCCCCTCTGGGCCGGCTGGAGGGGGGGGACTTGGGGTCTCTTGTTCTCCCTCCCTGGGGACCCTCTGAGGGGTTTGGGCGTCTTGTTGTTAGTCGCCCTGAGCCCGGCTTCGGCTGGGGAGGGCGGGATATGAATAAAAAATTGTTATTATTATTATTATTAGGACCTGGAGGTGCTGGGAGGGGAGGCACAGGTGGAGGAGGGGGCGCCTCTTGGGGGGGTCGTGAGGGTGATGGCGGGGGTCGTCTTTTCTCCCTCCCTCCAAGCTGCTCCTTTGCCTGCTTGTTCGTGCGCCTTGGAAACCCTTCTGGTTCTGCTTTTGGACAAGGCGCTGGTCCGGGTATTTTTTTTTAAACTAAAAATAAAACAATACGTGTTTTGTTATAGAACGGTCTGCGCTGCTGTTTTCTAATCGTCGGCCTAACGACTCATAGTGCTTTTTTTGATGATCCACGTGAGCTGCCTCCCGAAGGGGCTTGCGGTGAAAGGCAGCTTAGAAATGCCCGGAAGAAATCGACGGGGAGAGGAAAGTTGGGGTGGGGTGAATGCATTCAGTGGGCTCTGTCCTGATGATACTCTTTCCCCGCAACTTTTCACCATATCACGACATCTGGAAACCATCCCTAACAGTAGCTAAAAGGTACCAGGCTGCCTTAGATTCCCCGCTGCGGTTGGAGCATCAAGGCAGTTGCATCAGGCAAAGCGGGGGCATGCGTACAAAAAGAAAGGGGGGAAAAGACTCAGATATGCCTTCCACGTGGGAAGGAGGCTGAGGGCTGATTCAGGCACTTGGTTTGCACAAGTAGAAGGGAAAGGGGGCGTGGAACTGCCCCTGAACTTTTCCCATTAAATCACATATTCTCCTAAATCTCAAATGTTGAGAATCAAGGCAGTTCTTTTCTATACGACCTTCTAGAAGGCACCTGCCTGACCAGTGCTGTTAGCAGTAGGGTGCCAGATTAAACGGTAATTTGATCTTGAAGGGCAAGGACTGTGGCTTGGCAGTAGAGCACCTGCTTTGAAAACAGAAGGTCTCTGGTTCATTTCTCAGGTTAGGGCTGGGAATATTGGTGTAGGCAACACTGAGCTCAGGCTGAGTCTGGCTCGGTATATGGCTGCTTTCTTTGTTCATGTCTTGTAGAAAGGACCAAACTTCACTGAACCAGCTTTCACTGAGCCTTACCGCAGAATGTTCCAGCTTCAATCCCTGGCATTTCCCAAAGTTGTTGTTCTTCTTGCTCCCTGCCATCTCCCAAAGTGGTTGTTGTTTTGTTGTTGTTGTATTTATTAAATCTCTTAGTCAATTTATCTTGCCCAAGGTAACCCAAAGCAACTTGCAGCCAAACAAACAAACAAAACCACACATAGATACATTAAAACTGTGTGTGTTTGTGTTACATTAAAAAACATCCCACACACTTCTAAAAGGCCACAGATAGTTAAAGGCCAAAGGCTTAATTATTTTAAAAAAGTTTCTGCCTGACATCTAAAGATATATAAAGATGGTGCCAGATGAGCTTTCCTGGGGAGAGCATTCTACAAATGGGAAGCCACCTCAGAAAAAGCCCGTTATTGTGTTGCTGCGCTACAGGCCTCTCAGGGAAGGGCCTCAGATAGAAGAGCCCCCTGTCTGCAACCCTTGAGACCTGCTGCCAGTCAGTGTAGATAATAGTGAGGTCAGTGGTCTGACTTGGTACAGTGGTACCTTGGGTTACAGACGCTTCAGGTTACAGACTCCGCAAACCCAGAAATAGTACCTCAGGTTAAGAACTTTGCTTCAGGATGAGAACAGAAATCGTGCGGCGGCAACAGGAGGCCTCATTAGCTAAAGTGGTACCTCAGATTAAGAACAGAACGAATCAACCCGAGGTTCCACTGTATAAGGTAGCTTCCTGTGTTTGATCCAGTAGTGCTGCTCTTCCGAGTTTTTCTGATCATTTACCTGCAACCTTGTGTAATATACTCCATAAACACTTTCCAAAAGCCTCTGTGTGAAATTGCAGGCCAAAAGCTAACAGCAAGACTTTTAAAAAAGGAAACCCTCTGGAAAGTCCTCACCTATAGAGAGGAGTGGAGGTCAAGCTAGGAGCCCCTGAGAGGTTGAGGGGGTTGAGTCTAATCAGTATATAAATATAGTCCTTTTGAGAAGAGCTCAAAGCAGGCTGCACATAATAGATTTGTCCTTACAACAGAGCTGGGGGACCTCCATTATTTAGACTACAACTCCCACCATCCCTTTCCATTGACCAAGTTGGCTGGATTGATGGGAGTTCTCCAGTGACATCTGGAGAACCACAGGTCCCCCAACCCAACCTTTTGAGTAAGCCTGTGTTGTTTTCCCCAGGAGAAGAACAGATTGAACAAGGGAATCCAGTGGGCACTTGGCTAGATTAGGGGCTTGTTTTGTACTGGAGGCTACCAGCTCATGCATTTCCTTCTTAACCACTACCAGCAGCAGCAGCAGCTGAGGAAGGAAACAGAAGCAGTCATCTTGCTTTGATGAGTGCTGATGCTAATTTGTGTGTGTGTGTCAGTTTCGGTGAATTCATGCAGAGCTTATTGTACGTCATTTCTGAATGAAGGTTATCATGGCTATTGTGCATTTAGCTAAATTGGTTGGTTAAAAAAGACAGCGTCCCTAATTCTTCAGAAGGGAGGGTGTATATATATGAAGTTGAAAATTCTGCCCGTCTGAAGCGGTGGCACAGAGCCAGGAGGAGGAGACTGCAATAGACAGAGAAAAGAAGCTGATAGCTTGGCTTTCACCAGACCTTTTTTAGTGAAGATGGAGGCATGACTGAGCTTGTTGCTGCCTCTCCCCCCCCCCCCCCCCCCGTGGAGAGGCTGCCTTGCCGCTGCATATTCAGCGCATGACTGGTTGCTTGCATGGACAGGAGAGGAAGAACGAGCAAGTCCTGAAGCTGCACCACACCCAGTTTGAACTATTTCCAAGTGATTCTGCCAGGAAGTCTTTCCTGAATGCTAGCTTTTCCATAATCAGGGTTTCCTAGTGGTGGCTCTTGGATACTCTTCCTCGCTGGATCTACAAAAGGGGCACGATGAGGTTTGCCACTGAAGCATGATGACATCCTGAAAGAAATGGAAGCTGCAGTACCCGGTGCTCTCTCAGTGCAGCAGATCTGGCCAATAGTACAAGAGCAAAGCATAGTTCAAAAAACGACAAGGCGGGAGATGGCTAGGCTACAAACACTGAGCATTTGTGGCTGGGGTGCTGGATATCCGTATTTGAAACAACAGAAGTGTTTCAGGAATTGCTCTGTTGGGTCGGAACAAAGGTCCAAATTATCCAATCTTCTGTTTTTCATAGGGTACTTTCCAGACTCCCCGTGGAAGTTTACCACTAGGGCATGAAAGCAACACCCCCCCCTTCTTGTTTGTTCCTGGTTCCCTGGTATTCTGTGTTAAATTGCTTCTGAACATGGAGGATCTATTCAGCTAAGAACTGTTGGTTGACCCAAGTTCTTTGCATTTGATCATTTTCAAAGCCACATAGCAACTTCCATGTGCGTTGGAGGATGCAGCTCCCAAATGTGGGTTTGTTTGTTTGGTTTTTTTAAAAGCAACTTAAGTGTCAGGGTTGTGTGACAGACAAACTAGCTTGCGTTAACCAGTTAGCAGTTAAGAGGTTTTGTGTGGCCAGTTGGAATTAAATTAATGAAGCTTCACCCAACGCAACAGATGTCTTTCTCTGAGTCAGGAATAGTCAACATGGTTCCAGATGCTGTAGGACTGCTTCTCTCTTCATTCCTGGCCATGCTGGCTGGACAGCTCCACCTCCACCTCCAAACAAAAAAGATAGTGGCAGAGAGGAGGTGTTTATTTCCCCTAACCTTACATTTTTAGATTGACCTCCTTGTATTGCTCCCGCCCCTCTCAGCTCTCTTTGCAATTGTTTTAGTTTTGGCTTTGTGTCATTCTGCCCTGAGACCTTTAAGTGCCTGTAAATGCGGTAAGTGAATGATAGAGCAACACAACTGACACAGCAGCTTTGAGCTACGAGGGAATGAAAACAGTGACTGCTCATCCTTGTTCAGTATGTGGCACATAAGCAGCCTGTTTTTCCCCATTTTTTGTTTTAAATCCAGTTCCCACTGTTTGTCCGTTGTAAGCAGATTTGCTCACATGAGCACAATCTTGAATTCTACCTTGCATTAGAATTCCCAGTTTCATATGGGTCTACAAATAATAATATACAAATAATATCAAATAATATACAAATAATATAGAGCAGGCACAGGGAACTTGTGACCATCCAAATGTTGTTGGGATCCAGCTGCTGGCTGGGCTGACGGGAATAGTAGTCTAACAACATCGGAAGAGGCCCCTATTCTCCTTCCAAAGCTACAGTTCCCAGCATTCCCTGGGAAGAGGGATTGACAGTTAAACCATCCCAGAAGCTGTATTTTGTCTGAAGGGAATAGAGGTCTTCTAACATCTCTCAGCAGCTTTAACAAACTACAGTTCCCAGGATTCTTTGGGGGAAGCTGTGACTGTTCCAAGTGGTATGACACAGCTTTAAAGGTGGCGTTGCACATGCAGCCTGACTGTATGGAACAGCTGTGGGATTTGTAGTTGGCCTGCAGCCCAGGGCATGAGTCAGGCAGTGAGGGGAAGACAGGGATGCTGTGACTCCCAATCCTACAAGAAGGCTGTGGGCAAGCCAAGTGGGAGGCTGTCATGGTTTAGAATTCCATGCTGAGCAATGGGTTGAGCGGTGATATGTCCAGGATGAGATGGAAAGGACCCCTTTGACTCCCTGCTGGGAAGAATGACGAGGTTTGGAGGGATGATAGAAGGTTTTAAAGAACCAGGAATGCTGGGACTTGCCAATTGAAAAGTTCTCCAGCCATTCTTTGGTTTGAGCTTTCTCTCCCCTCAAGCCCACCTTCCTTGTACAGTCATGCCTCTTGTTACATTTGCTTCATGATACGTTTTTTCAGGTTGCGTCTCGCGGTGACCCGGAAGTACCGGAAAGGGTTACTTCCGGGTTTCGCCACTCATGCATGCGCAGACACGCAAAATGACATTATGCACAGAAGCGGCAAATCGCAACCCGCACATGCGCAGACGCAGGTTATGTTCCTTTCGGGTTGCGAATGGGGCTCTGGAATGGATCCCGTTCGCGACCAGAGGTACCACTGTATTGCAGGACTTCTGCCAAGTTACCAGTCACTATGAGTATATATGTACATGCCTCTGTCCTTTCATCAGCCCCAGCCAACATGGCCAATAGCCAGGGATGATGGGAGCTGCAGTCCAACATCTGGAGGGCACCAGATTGAGGAAGGCTGCCACCTGTGGCTGTATGTGGTTTTTATCCCCTGGATGTTAATGAAGGAACCACTGGTTCCCTCATCCTTCATGCTCCACAGGAAGTCATGTTTTTATATATGTTGGAAGCCACCCAGTCAGATGGGCAGGGTACGATGATGATGATGATCATCATCATCATCACCCACCACCCTAGTTCAGATAACCATCTGCTGCAGTGGGCTTGGGCAAACATTGCTGGACTCCAACTCCCATCATCCACATCCATTAGTCATGCTGGCTGGTGCTGATGAAGAATTGGAGTCTACCTGTTTCATTGCAACTGGGCAGAAGGGGCAGGACACTGGACTGCCTAGGCATTTTGGTCTGGTCTTGCTTGGTTGACTGCAACAAGCCGAGAGCGAGGAGACGAGGACAACAGTGGCTGTCTGAAGTTGTTTTATTATTTATTATTTTATTGTTTGCTGTATGTTAAATTTGCATACTGCCCTATACCAGGAGGTCTCAAATCCCTAAACTGGCTCTTTCCTTGCAGGTAGGAAAGGAGGCCACAAAGGCCGGGCACGGCAGTACACAAGCCCCGAGGAGATTGACGCTCAGCTCCAAGCAGAGAAACAGAAGGCCAAGGTAAGTGTGTGTGTCTGCTGCCATTTTCACAGAGCCGGGGTAACGATAGCAAGCACGAGTTGAACTGTGAGATGGGAAGACACCTGGTTCACCTTTTCCTTTGACACAGGCACATGAGTTCTTCTCTCAGCCTCCCATCTGCAAAAAAGGGGATTTAGAAAAAGGAATTCTACATTTTACATATTCAGAGTGTCACGGTCCGGTTAACGGGCGATCAAAGTCCCGGCTGGAGACATCGGGACTGGGGGCAAGATGGCAAGGTGGGAGCAGGAACAGGAGTCAGGAAGTCAAGGGTCTGAGGATCAAGGAAGCAAGGAGCCAAACGCAGAAAGGCAGGGAATGTGTTGCTGTGGCAAAGATCCTAAGGGAAATGCTGACCTTTTTTCCCTTCCTGGATCTTGCCACCAGGTGCTGTGAGTTACCAATCGGCCTCACCTGTGCGGCCATGCCTTGCCTCTTCAGAACAAACTTAGGAAGGCCCCAGTCCTGCAGAGTCCTACTGGTCACAGGGCCTGGCTCCCACACGCACTCCTGACAGAGAGAAGACCTTAACGTTGGGCAAAGGCTTGCAACATATTTATTAGCATTGACCTTTACCTTTACTCCAAGGAGATGCTGAGGATAGGTACTTTGTTCATCATTATAATAACCCCTTGCAGCAGTACAGCACACTAGAATTGAGTGTCTGTCTTCAGGTCACCCTGTGAGCTTTATGGCTGAGTGGGAATTTGAACCGATGTTTCCTCAGACCAGATTTCTCACTACTACAACACACTAGCTCTCAAATGCTTAATTATTGCTTACAGAATCCAATGAATCTGGGCCACTTCCGTCATTTGCCTGGCCTCCTTTGCACATGTCCATACCTCTGGGACAGAACATGATGTAAAAAAATATAATAGACGTATTAGATCTATAGTCCACTATCCTTTGTAAGGAGTTGTAAGGGCAGCATAAATGGATCCCCCCGTTTCATCCTCACAACAGCCCTGACAGGTAGGTTAGGTTTAGAGGAGGTGGTTGGTCCAGATCATCCAGTGAGCTTCATGGGTGAAGAGCAGTTCAAGGAGCAGTCCTACTCACACTGTAACTTCTACTCTGTGGTCGCCCAGCACTGATAATGCTTTTCGCTTCCACAGGAGGAGGAGGAAGCAGAGGAAGGCGGCGATGGGGCAACAGGAGAACCCAAAAAGAAGGAGAAATCGTTAGATTCAGACGAGAGTGAAGAGGAGGAGGAGGACGATGAAGACTACCAGGTACTAACGAGATGTTTCATGGAAGGATGCTCAGTTCGTGTTAATCCTTGAAATTCAGGTCATTTCTCATCCAGCTGATTGCTGCCAAGTTCTTCACCCTGGAGGGCTGGTTTTCTTCCAGACGAGCTCTTACAGGGCTGAATGTGGCCCTCTAGATATTTCTGTGTGGCCCTGAGGACTCCCCCAAAGCCATGCCCCCTCCCCTTTGCCAACCCTGGGACATGCCCTCAAACTGCGACAAGAGAAAGGGAGAGGTGTATAGAAAACTCATGAGTTGTGTTTTGCTGAAATAGGACCTACTGTACAAAGCTGAGAAACCGCATCCCTTTCCCCACCTGCTTTTTTTCTGGCCCTCACCAACCGCTGGCATGCAGCCCCCTGGAAGATTCCCGTAAGAGAGAATTTGGGCTGAAAGAGTTCCCCCACCCCTGTATCTCTTGGGATGCACTGATAACATAGCAGGAAGCAGGGGCAGCAGAGAGGGAAGGGATAGGTCCCATTCCCTGAGTAGTTTTTTTTCCAGAGAGAACCCAGCAACCAACTGGGGAAGAGCCCACCACCCTAGTTCAGATAACCATCTGCTGCAGTGGGCTTGGGCAAACTTTGAGAAGGCTGTTGTAGGGGAAACATGGGTTGGCGCTTGCATCCCAACTCCCCAAGGGCCTCTGAATCCCCTAAGTCAGAGGGTTTCAACCCTTTTGAGTCCACGGCTCCCTTGACCAACTGCATTCTTTCTGCGGCTCCCCTGTGGGGCTCAGGAGCCAGTTATGTTGCCCCTTGCCTGCAGCCTCTCACCCTTTTTCGAACACCCTCCCATGTGGAGTGTTCCCTCAGCCTCCTCTCCTATCTCCTCTACTTGGGAGTCCTCCAGGCAGCCGATGCTGTTGCCCCTGGTCTCAGCTGCCCCCCAAAGAGAGTTACCTCCTCACACTGCCCCACAGAGGCCTGGGACTTGTCTGTCCATTCCCAGCAGCAAGGGCTGGCAGACTAGCTGGCTGGCCTGCTTGCTTGCTTACTCTGAGGCCACATCAGCTCCTGGCAACCAGCACCCCCTGACCAGCACCAGAGGCACCATTCTCCTACGGAGCTTGTGGCTAGGGCTTTTGCAACAAGAGCTGCATAAGCCTTCAGGAGGCAGAGACGTGAGAGAGCTTTGGAGGAGGGAGGGAAGGAAAGACAGACAGACAGACAGACACACAGAAGCCAGTGTTGCCCACGGCACCCATGGCCATCATTCAAGGCGCCCCAGGGTATTATAGCACACTGGTTGAAAACCACTGCCCTAAGTCAGAGAAGAATGGATGGAGGCAGGAACTAGTAAAAACAAAGCAAGGGAGATCTTCATTTTCATGTTGCAACAGCCCCCCTCCCCAACTTTGCAAGGAGGTGAGGACCCTGAACAGCTTTTAGAGATTTTAGAAATTGTCCAACCCCTTAGGCAAAGCATCTCCACCCCCATCGTTCTGCCCAGACACAGGTCCAGTGGCGAGGGCCTTCTTGGTAGTGGCACCGGTCCTGTGGAACGCCCACCCACCAGATGTGAAAGAGCTTTGTATTTTAATATTCTGTTGGGAGCCGCCCCGAGTGGCTGGGGAAACCCAACCACATGGGCGGGGAATAAATATATTATTATTATTATTATTATTATTATTATTATTATTATTATTATTATTATCAGCCGCCATAAGCTTTTACATGTTGTTTGTTCCACCTACCTGAAGTTGCCGCTGCTCACGTTCCGCTCTCGTCTTCTTTCATTCCAGCCAAAGCACAAAGGCGTGGAAGGCATGATAGACATCGAGAATCCCAACCGCGTTGCACAGACAGCCAAAAAAGTAACTCAGATAGATATGGAGAGCCCCAGGGAATTGTCGCGGAGAGAACGGTAAGGTGTTTTCCTCCCCTCTGGCGTGTGGGATTCTCCGAGAAGTGTTGCTCGGGGCGTGTAGAAGTCTGGGAGCCTGTGGTTCCCTGCTCCCTATTTTGGGAACCCGCAGACTGTCAAGGAGCAATAACGGGCCTGTCCCTGAGCAAAGGGAGGATAAATTGTGTTTTAGCAGAGGCTGCCAGAGAGGAACTGAGTCGGGAATACAGTGGCCTGCAAAAGACAAGACACTGGAGAGACTGGGGAGCAAGATTAAGGCACTAGGTGCTGTCCCAATTATTTGACTTGCTCTTCAGAGGGCAAAACCCAGGGGCTCTGGCTTCCCAGGGCAAGCACCTCCCCGTGCAGAAAGAAGTCTGCAGAGTCGCTATATGGCTGCTCTGATAGTTACTCTTCAAGGTCTAAGGCAGTGAGATGGTCTTTTACTAGAACTGCTGCTCCCGGGGGGGAGGGGGTGGTCCACCAACCCTGTGGACACATCGGGAAACCTGAGAAACCATCATGGGCAACAATTACAGTGGTACCTCGGGTTAAGAACTTAATTCGTTCCAGAGGTCCGTTCTTAACCTGAAACTGTTCTTAAACTGAAGCACCACTTTAGCTAATGGGGCCTCCTGCTGCTGCCGCCCCGCGATTTCTGTTCTCATCCTGAAGCAAAGTTCTTAACCCGAGGTACTATTTCTGGGTTAGCGGAGTCTGTAGCCTGAAGTGTCTGTAACCTGAAGCGTCTGTAACCCAAGGTACCACTGTACCCACCTACCCAAGTGCCCTGCAACCCCAGATGCAAACTCTACAGCAAACTTGGCCCTCCTCCCCCAGCAATTAGGCTTTAAAAAAATCTGGGTTTTTGAAGCTTAAACATTTTCCTGGAAACTGCAGCTGGAGAGAAACGGCCAGCCCACTTGCAAAAAGGGAGGCAATAGAAGAGTTTTTTCAGGCATAATTGTGTGGCACGGGAAGACATTTGGTGGTGGTGGGGATTACTGGTGTCCCCCATCAAATCCCCACCCCCCATGTGCACCACAATTAGGCTTGAAAGATTCTTTACGTTGAAGCTTCTTTCAAACCTCATTTCCGTGCAAGCAGGGTGGCAGCCGGGGAAGGTGGGATTAACCTTTCTCCAGCTGTGGATAGTCCCACCCCGCCATGCCCACCTCCAACTCATTTTGGTTTGGAAAAGCAGCAAGGCCAATTGCAGAGGGGCTGGGGGTACCAAAGGTGTCTGTGGCAACCGGCACACAAGAGACCGAAGCTGTGATTTCTGCATGCAGAGGAGGAGCTGTACCCTCTATCTAGTGTTGAAATCCACAGAGTAGTCTCTGCTCTGAATGCTATTCAGGTGGGGAAGCGGGGCAGGTAGAGGGACATAAAAGTGTAAGCCATCTGCTGCCATCTGCAAGGCAGATTTGAGGGTAAACCATATGCGGAACAAGTCTGCCCCTGCGGCTTGATGGAGGTAGAAACTGTCTCTCGTGCCTTGTTACACTGCCGTTTCTACGGGGATATATGCTCGGTATTTATTACCCCTGCTATGCAAAAATCTCCAAATAAATCCAAAACTTCAATGTCTAAAATCCCTGGTAGAGGACAAGGATCCTGAGATCACATTAAGGGTAGCCAAATTCTGTGTGATTGCCATAAAACTTAGGGAGCAAGCTGTGCTATCATCATGATTAAGGTTTTAAATGATAATTTTAGGTTATATGTTAGTGACTTAAGTTTTAATTCATATATTTTTTAACTGATGCTGTATCTGTATTGTCCCTGTTACACCTAATTGCAAATTCAAATGTATCCCTATCGTGTTTTATGACTTCCTTGATATTGTATGTGGGCTGGGACTGGCCTTTGACCGAAATAATAAAATTCAATTCAAAAGTGTAAGAGCCCTGCTGGGTGAGCTTCAAAGGTCCACTTAGTGCAGCATCCTGTATCTCCCAGGGGCCAAGCCAGATGCCTCCGGGAAGACCAGCAGCAGGACATAAAGGCAGGTGCCTCTCTCTTGCGGTGGCTTCCTAGCAAATGGTACCCGGTGGCCTCTGATAATGGCAGCAGCATAATGCAAACGGATGGGACGTTGTCACTGTAGTTCTGTTTTAGGGATATTCCGGGTGCAGGCAAAAGCCGCCTCGGGCAGGTTTCCAGGTCTCCTTTTGGCCCTCCATCGCCTCCTTTAAGCTGTCCTTGTGTCCATGTGGGAAGGAGTGCCTTCTGAACTCTGATTAAAACCTCCTTCGCTGGATTGTTCTCCCACCCCCCCCCTTTTTGCTCAAAACAGAGAAGAGATTGAGAAACAGAAGGCGAAAGAGAGGTACATGAAGATGCACCTTGCCGGGAAGACAGAGCAGGCCAAGGCAGACCTCGCCCGACTAGCCATCATCCGGAAACAGAGGGAAGAGGCGGCCAAAAAGAAAGAGGAAGAAAGGAAAGGTAAGGAAGACTTTGAGCCGAAGATGGCCCAAACCTCAGGGGTTCAAATTGGCTGCCTCAAGGCTGCTCCCCCCCAAACCACACCCACCTGCTAGAGAGGCAGCTGCCAGTACACCATGTGGACCTTAAAATGTGCCCCCAATTGTGCACTGGCAAGGGAGAGAAAGCTCAGCTCTCCCTCCCCTCAGCCCAAGCCTCTGGCCTCTGAATCACTGCGCACAGAGCTTTGCAGGCCCTGTGTTGTGCTCTGAAGTCCCGCCTTCTCCTGGTGCCATTTTGCCATCAGGTGACTGACAGGTGAGTGCCTCTGCCCATCTAGGATCAGGCCCACAGACCCCAAAAAGTAACCCACCACCTCTTTAATATAGAGCCCCTTCCTGGCAGGAACTTAGGGAGTTGCCTTTTGTGGGATCCAACCACTGGGCATCTAGCTCCCTATTTACGTTGACCGGTGATGGCTCCCTCGCTTCAGGCTTTTCCTAGCCTGCTGCCCAGGTATAAGGCGGCTGTGAAGTTTACAGAGAATTGACATTCTTTTCATGTCCCGAAGGAGCTGTTTAAATGTCAAGCATCGTGAACTATTAGCATTTTACATAAAATTATTGCACAGTAACTACTTTAGCGGAGGGGAGAGAGAAATTTGGGAGCTGTTGTTATGTTGGGAGTAAAATGTTAAGACTTGAAGCAGAGGGCTGCTGTGTCTGAGCCACTCTCATATGTGAAGCAACTCTGTGCCCAACTAACCCTCTTCATCTAACCCAAGAGGGGGCCATAAATTCCTTGCATGCACCCAAGCCTCAACTTTCAGGTTAGCCCCTGCCCTGGAGCCTTGTATAACTGCTGCCTGCCAGAGTGGACAATATTAAGGCCTGCCAGAGTGGACATATTAAGCTTCTCTCCCCGCCGCCCAACCTTGAGATCAAGCCGGGGACTAGCAGGAAGACGACGCTGCGTCTCCCAAGTGTCCCACGGAGCTTGTGGGCAGGCAGCGGGAGAAGCGTCTCTCTCCCCGCCGCCCGCCTTCGATCAGGTCGGGGGACAGCGGGAAGACGTGCTTGCGCCTCCCCACGGTCCCCAGGAGGCTTTCGGGGCTTGTGTGCGGGTCTTCCCGCCGTCAGCCTTCCAAACACTTTCGGGGAGACAGCGGGTTGCAGCGTTTCCGCCTCCTCTCTGTCCCGCGACCTTTGGGGTGGCGGCTGGGGCTTCTCCTGAAGCCTGGACAAGCGCATAGAGCCTCTATGGTTGTAAAGAGGCTGTGGGTCACTGGGAGGAACGCAGGCTGCCATTCCACATTTGTTTTCCAAAAACACACATAGAGAGAGACCAAAAAAGAAAAGAAATACACACTGGGGGGGAAGATGGGACTAATTCTGGAATGAGCGTTCTCTGGAGACCCCTGCCTTTAGGTGCCCCCTTCCCTTGGCCTTCCCTCCCACCCAATATCCAAGCCTTGGCCAGCAGCGGGATCCTGCTTGAGAGAAGTCCCAAAGAGAGGAAACTGATGGCTTCCGTAAGGTGATGGAAGCAGCCAAGAAGTGGGGCTTCAAGGAATGCCACCTTAATGAGTCTAGGCTTGGGGGGAGGCGAGAGAGAAGAAGGTTTTTTGGTGGGCGACAAGGAGAAGGAGTTGTAGCCGGTTTGGCAGGTTTCAACAGCACCTGATTCTAGGCCAAAGGAGCAGGGGGGGTTTATGCAGAACTGTAGAAGGGGGACCCAAAGGGGTCACATGGTCCAAGCCCCTGCGAGGCAATGCCTGGTTAGCTTTTATAAACCTCCTTCTCTCTCTCCGTCTTTTTCACCCACCAGCTAAAGACGAAGCATCCTCAGCAGGCAAAAGACTGCAGTCCCTGTCCCTTAACAAGTAAGCGCCAGCCACAAGAGAGGAGGGAATCTTCCCAGGAACTGTGCCTGGCTGGCGCCTGCTGGGCACACTTTGAGGCTTCACACACAGAGGGGGCGACGCCGCAGCGTGAAGAGCACGGCCGTAACCGGCGTCCTCTTCCCTCCTAAGAGACACTTGGCAGCAGCGTGTTCGTCTTCATCTGGGCACAGAATTCCATGGTGGGGAGGGGTGGGTGGGAATCAGTGGGGTGGGTGGGCAAGCTATTATAATCCTTTGAACGCGGGAGTCGCCGGGGCAGCGATTCTCCCGCACAGCCGCTTCAGGAGGGGGTGCTATAAACCGAACGATTTTGCTGTCTTTCAAATTCGAGATTACCTATCCAGGGGGGAGCAGGAAAAAGCTGGAGCGATAATGGAGGGGGCGGGGGAAGATACGGCTTCAGCGAGGCCAAAAGAGAGAGGGGAGTGGGATTGGTAGTCTTGGCATGCAGCCGCAAATCCAAAATGCTGGAAATGCGGGTGCGTGTTTGCGATAGGCACTCGTCCGAAAAACGGCCTGCGGGGTTGGAATGTGGAGCAGCAAAGAAATAAAAACACATTTGGATCTGGACCGTGTGGCTGTTTTGGTCTTTTTATTTCCACTTTCTACCCTTCTCTCTCCCCATTTTTATTTGTATTTTTTAAAAAAGAAGCCATCCTTAATTTCTTCCCTTCTCCTCTGATAGTGACTTTTTAACTGCGAAAACAAAACACATCCCTGCAAAACCAGAGAACTCTTTTCTTGATTGTGCAACATGTTGGAACAGGTGCAAATTGGAAGCAAAACTTGTATATTTGGCTGAATAAAGTTTAAATTATCGTAAAACGCCTTCCGTGCCTTGTCTTCTGTAGAAGCAGCTGTGGCTGGCCTGCCCTGCTGGCGCTGAGGAATGAGTTCCAAAGCCTTCAGTGAGGCGGGACATGGGCCTGCAGAAACCACTGTGGCTCATGCAAGCTGGGACTGGTGGGAACGAAGGAGCCAACTCTGTCCCCCACTCTTTGCCTAGTCTATTCGAATTGGGCCAGCACTGCTTCAAACTGTGGCAGTGGTCTAGGTCTGAGAAACCCTCTCCATAAAAACATATCTGCAGACAGAAAACTACCCCAGGAAAGAGATGGGGTTGTTCTACTTGGGAGTGAACCCAGTGAAATTATTGGACCTGTTAGAGTCCAATTTCAGTGGGTCCACTCTTGAGTAGGACTAGTATTGGATATCAAGTCAGTGGCGCCATACTAGCCCTCCTGAAAACACGAAGACCAACAACAAGAAGTTTTTAACTATATTCATAGCAGGAAGCCATCTAGGGAGGCAGCTGCACCTTTGGGTGACAAGGGAGTCAAAGGCGTGGCAAGGGAAGAGGAGACTGCTGCAGCGAAGCTGAATGAATTATTGGCACCTGTCTTTACAACAGAAAAGATGAGGCAGATCCCAGTGGCCTGGGGAACAAGGGCAGATAGTGGCAGTGAGAGATAATATTCTAGGCCCAACGGGGGGGGGGGGGTTGGAGATAAGTGATCAGTCACCAGGATTGGATGGCAGCCACTTGAGAGTTCTTAAAAAATTCAAATGCAAAACTGCTGAGCTAACAAAAATAGGCAGTTTGTCCTTCATCTCAGCCTCCATACATGAGGCCTGGAAAGCAGTAAATGTAACACACAATTTAAAAAAGGGGATCCAGGGACAATCCTGGAAATTACAGGCTGGTTAGTTTAATGTCTGTCCCCAGAAAACGGGTGGAAATCATTGCTAAAGAGAAAATAACCATTCAATAGGATTTACTTTTGAGTGGACGTGGTTAGGGTTGTGCTGATGGTCTCTCCTGGTGGTAGGAGAGGGGGAGATGGAAGTTTTGCTATGCTAACTGTGACCAGCATCTCTTTATTGAACACTTAACAGTTATCAACCTGTTTTCCACTGGCGACACACAAAATCTGCCCAACTTGTAGCTGGTGGGATTGTTATCTTAGGTATGCGGGATTGCAGGAATGAAGCAGGTTGCATCGGGAAAGGAAGCAAAAGCTGGTAGTCGGGGGTCTTCTGCCCTGCCCACCCCAGACTCCAGTGAGACGGAAGCGCTGCTGAGATGAATAATTCTTCAGTCCTTTTCTACTTGATCCGCAGGCCCTTCATAGCAGACTCCAAGCTCTGAAATGAAAACACGGGTTTGTCAGAAGAAAAATGGCATTCTGGCTGAGGAAAACCTAAAAAGTCATTAAAGGATTGGCCCAGAAATGGGCCAAACAGAGCCACTGAAACACCTGCTCCAGGGCTATTTTCCTTGTGAATGGAAAATATTCACAAGGTATTGCTCAGGACCGCAATACCTCAAAGGACCGCCTCTCTCCATATAGACCGAACCTCTGAGGCCCTTCTTTGTGCGCCCCCTCCATGAGAGATTTGGCAACAAGAAAATGGCCCTTTTCTGCAGTGGCTCCCCGTCTGTGGAACGCTCTCCCCAGGGAAGCTTGCCTGGCGCCTTCATTATAAACCTTTAGGCGCCAGGTGAAAACAACCCTCTTCAACTGGGCCTTTGGCTTGCTGATATTTGAAGCCCTTTTTAATGTGTTGTGGGAGGGGGCGATTATTGGTTTTGCATTTTTTAGCTTGTATGTTTATGTCGTGAACCGCCCTGAGAACTACAGATAAAGGGCAATATAACAACAACAACAACATCCAGAATTCAAAAACTGCAACTGCTGATTTTGGCCCAAATATTCATTTCTCTTAGTTTTAAACTTGGAACGTTGGAAGCTGCCTTATCCCAAGGTGGGCCATGTTTTTCACTCTTGCGCTGAAGGATAGCAGCTGTCCAGAGTTTTGGTCAGGGCTCCCGGGGATTGGACGCCCAATGCAGTGGGCAAAGGGTCATCAGACAGGAGAGGAATAGTTCCAAGAACAGGAAGACTGTGTTAAAAGTGGTACGATACTGCTTTACAGTGCAGGTAGGGCCTCAGAGTAGACCCACTGAAATTAATGGAGCAGCAACAGTTATGTAGGTTTCAATGAGTCTGCTTGCAGCAGGACCAACATTGGGAGGAACCCCAGCGGCAAAGAGTCTTGTTAGCACAAGGATGGAAGAGTGAGGAAGTCCCAACGAAAGAACAACGGCAAGAAAAACTGATGAGTTATGCGGAGATGGCAAAGTTAACACACAAACTATGTGAGAAGGACAACCGTGACTTCAAGGAAGAATGGGAACTATTTACAAACTACTTAAAAAAGACAACAAAAGGATTTTGAACTCCTTGGCAGGTTTTGAAATAAACACCCACAAATTTATTAGTAGAACATTATGACAGATAAGGTAAAAGATATGTACAACTTTATAAAAAATGTATGAATAAATCAGAGAGGGGAGCTGAGGGAAGTCTTTGGAGGGTGGAAGAGGGAGGGGTGGGAAATGTAATTAGTTATATTTGATTTATAATTTGATTTGCTAAATCTGCTTAATAAAAATATTTATTTAAAAAAACAGAACATTGGGCGCAACCCAGAGACCCCTACAGTTGACGCTTGGCAGTACAAATGCCAGCAGTAACTACTGAAACCATTTGGTGCCTTTTCGTGACCCCCAAACCAGCTGCTTCCCTCTGACTAATGCAAGGCCAGGCCAAAGCCTGAAACCTGACAACCTCAGCAGCTTGCAGTGGAGACAAATCCTACAGGGTGTACTCAAGCCCTGGGGACGTGCCGAAAATAATAGCTTGATCCCAGGCGTGATACATCACATTGCAATGGGAGCACACATTGTGTGTGTCTCATGGCTTCAGATTGCAGGAAGTGTATTTCTTAAAGACTTTGCCAAATTAAAAAAGAAGCAATCCCAAAAGAAGTTAAAGAGTTGGGCACGGGTCCATTTGATTAAACCTCTTAAGGACTGTTTCCAGAGAGCAGGGGTGGGAAACCTCAGGTGCAGGAGTTGAATGCAGCCCTTTGTGGACCTTGAGACTTTCTCCCCAAGCCCCAGGGGTCATCTAGTCCAACCCCCTACAATGCAGGAATTTTAACCCAAGCATCCATGACAGGTGGCTATCCAACCTCTGCTTAAAAACTCCAGAGTCCACCACCACTTGAGGGAGCCCGTTCCCACTGTCAAGCAGCTCTTACTCTCAGAAAGTTATTCCTGACCATGGGTAGGCAAACTAAGGCCCGGGGGCCAGATCCAGCCCAATCGCCTTTTAAATCCAGCCTGCAGACGGTCTGGGAAACAGCGTGTTTTTACATGAGTAGAATGTGTCCTTTTATTTAAAATGCATCTCTGGGTTATTTGTGGGGCATAGGAATTTGTTCATTCTATATATATATTTCAAAATCCGGCCCCCCACAAGGTCTGAGGGATAGTGGACCGGCCCCCTGCTGAAAAAGTTTGCTGACCCCTGTTCATGACGTTTAGTTCGAAACTCCTTGACGACATCGGTTCAAGTCCTACCCTCCAGAGAAGGAAACAAGCTGCGTGTGGCCCTGAGAAGGTTGCCCAGGAGGGAATGTGGCCCCTCAGGCTTAAGAAACTATTTCCCATCCTTGCCATAAGGAAGTGGTGCATTTTGCAGGGAGAGTGGCCATCCAAAGTCTTCCTCTGGCGCAACTCCTTAGTGAGCATCTTCACATACTAAAAGCAAATGGTGCGACCGCTGGTCTATTAGGGCAAAAACTGCATCTTCCCCACCCAGCCTTTTTTTGCTTACCTTGATGTCCCATAGGCTCATTCCTCCGTCCATTCCTGTGGTGCAGAACTTGGAGCAGCTGCCTTTCCCACCAGCAATCACAGATATTTGGCTGAAAGGGAAGACAAGACAACTGTGGGCGTTAACTGCCAAACTAGGACTGCTCAAAGCAGAGGGGAAATTGTACTGGACTACAGAAGACGAATGTCAACCTAGGTGTTCAAAAGCACACCAAAAAGTACAAGTAGATAAATAGGTACTGCTCCGGCGGGAAGGTAAATGGCATTTCCGTGCGCTGCTCTGGTTTCGGTGTTCCGTTGCGCCAGAAGTGGCTTAGTCATGCTGGCCACATGACCTGGAAAAACTGTCTGTGGACAAACGTTGACTCCCTCAGCCTGTAAAGTGAGATGAGTGCCGCAACCCCCAAGTTGTCTGTGACTGGACTTAACTGTCAGGAGTCCTTTACCTTTTATTTACAGAGGACGAAGGGTTGTCAGACCGAAGGCAGGGGATAGTTCCAAGGGCAGGGCCTTTTCCACCACAGCACACCCCCATTAGGAAATTCTACCCCCAAAGAGGTGGACACGAAAACTTGCTTTGAATCGAGTCACATCTTTTGTCTCTCCAGGGACTCAAGACAAGGATTTCCCCCTGCCCTACTTGGGAGATGCCAAGGATTGGGGCCTTCCTTCTGCATGCAAAGCAGATTTTTTTACCACTGAACCACAGCCCAGCTCAGCTAAGATAGTGACCTGGATGAGGTAGGGTCTTTTCCCGAGTTACGGACCTGGCTTACATCAGGAAATTCAGAAATTTGGCTAACAATACGGTCATACCTTGGTTCTTGAACACCTTGTGACTCAAACATTTTGGCCCCCAAATACCGCAAACCCAGAGGTGAGTGTTCCGGTTTGCGAACATTTTTTGAAAGCCAAATGTTCGACGCGGCTTCCAATTGGGTGCAGGAAGCTCCTGCAGCCAATTAGAAGCCGTGCCTTGGTTGTCGAACGTTTTCGGAAGTCGAACGGCCTTCCAGAACGGATTCCATTTGAGAACCAAGGTACGGCTGTATAATGAGAAGGTGCATTTTTTATTGCCTACAAAGTTTTCAGCAGGCAGCTGAAAGTTGAAACAGAAAGCACCTGCCGATTGTATTGGCAGAGAGTTCCATAGGACTGGGCCAATGACCCTGAAGGATCTTAGTTTCTTGTTGTCAGATGAGCCTCGCCAACTTGGGGAACCAACCAACGATGCTCCTGAAGGCGTTTTCAGTGATGGAGCTGGGATGTCAGGGTTCAGGTGGTCCCTGGGGTTCCCTGGACCTCAGTTCTTCGGGGCTTTGTAAATTAATACAAGGACCTTGAACCTGGCTTGGTAGTAAATGGGTAGCCAGGTGTCACATGCTGCTGGGCCAGATGTCCCCTCCAGCAGTCTGGCTGACGCATTTGCACCAGCTGGAGCTTCTGCACCAGGTCCAAGGTCAGCCCCACATAGAGCTGCATTACAGTAATCCAGCCTCAAGGTTGCCAGAGCATGGACTAAGGTGGTCAGGCTATCCCTGTTCAGGAACGGCAGTAGCTGGCAAACCAGACAAAGCTGGTAAAAGGCACTGCTAGCCAGAGAGGAATGCCCTCTGGTGCATCAAAGATGTATCTTGGAGCACCTCCAGTACATGCACTTGCTCCTTCTGGACTCCATCTAGGGCAGGTAAATTGCCTGCCTCCCAAAACCTGCAATCTACCCAACCTCTGTCCTCCCAGGATTCAAGTAGTTTATGTCTAGTGGCAGACCTACATTTTGGGGACCCTGAAGCTTGAAGTGTTATGGGGGCCCCTTTGCAACCAACAACAAGATCTGGGTAGCCACCATTACCTTCCTGAATGGGGTTGTTCCATAACAGATCACCACACCTTTACAACACCTGCGCTACCGACTCCCAAATTTTGGGGTTGTTGAAACGTAGACAACAAAACCATTAATCAATTGGAGATGTGCGACTCAAATTTGGTCCTGAAGTCTGAGCTTCATTGGTTTCATAGCAGATCTGCCCCTGGCCTGGTGGATTCAGAGAGGATCTCAACAAGAACTGGGGAAGGCTGAAATTCCCATTATAACTGCCTTATACCGAGCCAGTCCATGTATCCCAGTGTCATTTGGTCACGGCTTTCCAAAGTCTCAGCACAGGGGAGCTGGGGCAGTCTTTTCCCTGGAGCTGCTGGCGGGTCTCTTAGATCAGGCTGGACCTGGTCTTGCACACCTGCAGCTGCGGTTCTGCAACGTTACCTTGTTTAATTTGTGGAGGGGCAGAGCCCACGGAAGAACTTACCTGATGCTGTTCTTGTGGAGGGTGTCCAGAGTGGCGTTGGTGGTGGTATCAGAGCTGGCTTTCTTATCCAGGTTCTGGAAGCGCTCGCGAGCCGTGAGCCCACGCTGGGCACCCTGCTTGGGGATGTCCAGCTTCCCCCCGAAACTCAGCGTGCCCTGCTGCTCGTCATAGGTGAACAGCATCGGACAGCAGTCGTGGCCCTGGGGGGAGGCAAGCAGAGGTCAGGGCCTTGGAGGCTTTTCATCAGCAACGTCCACTCCCAAGGGTCCAAAACGCTCTCAATATTCCTCCCACAACAGCCCTGTAAGGTAGGCCACTAATAAAAATATATGATAATTATGAGAGTACAGCAGTACCTCGGGTTACATACGCTTCAGGTTACAGACTCCGCTAACCCAGAAATAGTACCTTCGGGTTAAGAACTTTGCTTCAGGATGAGAACAGAAATCATGCGGTGGCAGCGCAGTGGCAGCGGGAGGCCCCATTAGCTAAAGTGGTACCTCAGGTTAAGAACAGTTTCAGGTTAAGAACGGACCTCCAGAACGAATTAAGTACTTAACCCGAGGTACCACTGTACGTGCCACTTTGCAAGGAACAGAACAGAGCGAGTCCCTGGCCCCAAGGGCCTTACCATCTGAATAACTGCAAGGGGGAGTAGCATAGCTGCCAACTTTTCCCTTTTCTTGCGAGGAATCTTATTCGGAATAAGGGAATTTCCCTTAAAAAAAGGGGAAAGTTGACAGCTATGGGGAGTAGCAGAAGACAGGGAATGAAATTGAGCCCGAGGATAAACAGTGGTGAAATCTGCAGAATGAGTATGAAGGGTTCCAAATGCACCAGGCATGGCTGACAATATTTTGAAGTTAAGTGAAGGAACAAACATTATTATCATCTAAAGAGGCCAGGGTGGCAGCGTTAAGAGAATTCAAGTCCAGAGTCTAAAATTACCCAACTGCACCACTAGAGGTCATGATACTGTCACTACAAAGATTAGTGGATGCGCTTGTGTGTTGGCTGTAAGCAGTGCTTTTTTCCCTGGGGGTACGCAGGTACCCTAAACATTTTGTGAATCTAAGTTTGGCCTCATTGAGGGGCAGTATTTCAATATGAGTTGGAAAATGAAAGTACCCCTAAACATTTTATTAGAAAAAAAAGCACTGGTTGGAAGAATGCAATTGCCCACTTGTGGACTGTAATGACACGGTCCAGGCAGGACTATACCACATACCATTGCTCCACGTAGGAATGGGGCCCGAATCTTCACTGTGCAAATAAACACTTGGAAAGAGTTATAGTGCGTGACTTACCGCGGCCACCAGGCTGTTCTCAGTGATGAATGTCACGGCCAGGAGAGGCAGAGTTTCCGTGGACAGGCAGGCCACACTGAAGGGAAGAATGAGGCAAGGGTGGTTAGCACAGATTAGTTGCTTTGCAGCCCCTTAGTGGCTGGGCCTACCACAAAATTCAGCCCGTGTTCTGGGTTCCCACTCCCTATCGTTGGGAGATGAGGCTGTGGGTTTGGAGGAGGGATAGAAGAGGAAATTGACCTTGGAGCCAGCCCCTGGCATGCCTAGAAGTTTTGGCGTAAGAGGCAATTGTTCTGTCAACACCTCTCCAACCTGAACAGGCCAAGCTGCACTCCTCTTACTCGGAGGACAACAGCCCAGAAATCCCAGTGGAGCAATGCTTTCCCTCAGTCCACTGGAGTCAATGACTGCTGAAGCAGACTAAGGACCCTCTAAGTGAAGAGACTTCTCTCCCTAGAGGAAGAGGGAACCACACTGAAGCAACGTTTGAACTTTTCTCAACCACTGTTTGAGCTCTCTGTGGCGCTGTCCAGGGTCCTGCCTCCACCCTGAACCTCCTGAACCGCCTTGCTTTGAAGCATCACGTTTCCATTGGGGGCAGATCCACACCACTGATTTCAGACCCATTCAATGTGCATGACTTCACCCAAAAACTCCTGGGAGTTTTCCCCCTCCCACAGCTACCATTGCCATTTTGCCCACTATACACTGGACCCAGGAGGTGATTTCTCACTCAACCCCCCATACAGGAAAGATGTATCTCCCCATAAGAAAAGGTCCTACTGCTTCTTAACGATGTAAACATTTCAGTGACTGTGAAGTCACCATTTGTTTCTCTTTTGGCGGCCGAAAAGATCAGAAAGAAGAAACTGGGCAATATAGCACTGAGCTATAAGGGAGACGCAGAGATCTAAATAGAGACTTTGCATGTGTTTGTTTTTGGTTCATTGGCCAAGGGCCAATGAAGTTATTTGGATGTGGAGCTGACCTTTAAAGCCCGAAACGGCCTCGGTCCAGTATACCTGAAGGAGCGTCTCCACCCCTATCGTTCTGCCCAGACACTGAGGTCCAGCACCGAGGGCCTTCTGGCGGTTCCCTCACTGTGAGAAGCCAAGTTACAGGGAACCAGGCAGAGGGCCTTCTCGGTAGTGGTGCCTGCCCTGTGGAACGCACTCTCACCAGATGTCCAAGAGAAAAACAACTACCAGACTTTTAGAAGACATCTGAAGGCAGCCCTGTTTAGAGAAGCTTTTAATGTTTAATAGACTATTGTATTTTTAAATTCTGTTGGATGCCACCCTGAGTGGCTGGGGAAACCCAGCCAGATGAGAGGGGTATAAATAATAAATTATTATTATCGTTCCCAGCACGCTTAGTAAGCTACAGGGCCGAGAATTCTTTGTGGGAAGTTGTGTGGGTTTACACAGGGACTGAACGAGCATGGAGCAGATCTGCTCAGAGTCTCAGGATCAACTCATCCCAAGGAAGCGAAGTCCCTGCAGCCAGTTGGGCCAGGCCGGTTCATGGGAAACTCTGAACCCCCACCTAACAGTCCAACTTACGCCATCTTCTTGTTGGCATCCGCAAGGCAGATGGTGCTGTCGTGGCTCACCCATGCCACGCGGCTGCCACTCCCAGAGAAGCAGATGCTGTGGACCCAGCCGCAGCTGCTGCCAGACTCAAACATGAGTTCTCCAAACGGCATCTTGGATCCCCACGGAGTTGGCGAGGGCCGCTCCTCAACCTCTTTGATGTAAGCAGAGAAAATCCTACAAGGCGGGAGGGAGAGGAGAGGCGGGAGGGAGGGTGAAAGCATGTTACTGGAGGGCCTATCAAAGCTAGACAAGGAGCAGATCCGGTCAAGGCCTGGAAGGGAGACTGTCCAACAGGCCTCCCCCCCCCCGCCCCCGCCCCAAACACATCCTGAAGTCACACGTTGGATGCAATCCAGGATATTTGCCTCACCTGCATTTGAAATCGCAGGATCCAGCCGCCAAGAGAACGTTGTTAGGGTGCCAGTCAAGGCTAAGGATTGTCGATCGAATGGGCTTCTTGATATGTTTACAAACCCACCTAGGAGAGACAGCAAATACGAGGGACAATACAGTAATCATAGCAAGCAAGCAAGCAAGCCTTTATTATGAAAAACAAAAACAAGTGAAGAAGCAGCTGAGGCTTTGAGCAGTTCACGCTCAGTGCAGGAAGGGGTGCAACGCAGGCAAAGCTCGATTGGGTCAGGGCCACCAAATTCCATATATAAATCCATTTATAGTGGATTAGGGACATGGGTGGCGCTGTGGGTAAAACCTCAGCGCCTAGGACTTGCCGATCGTATGGTCGGCGGTTTGAATCCCCGTGGCGGGGTGCGCTCCCGTCGTTCGGTCCCAGCGCCTGCCAACCTAGCAGTTCGAAAGCACCTCTGGGTGCAAGTAGATAAATAGGGACCGCTTACAAGCGGGAAGGTAAACGGCGTTCCGTGTGCTGCGCTGGCTCGCCAGATGCAGCTTGTCACGCTGGCCACATGACCTGGAAGTGTCTGCGGACAGCGCTGGCCCCCGGCCTCTTAAGTGAGATGAGCGCACAACCCTAGAGTCTGGCAAGACTGGCCAGTACGGGCAGGGGTACCTTTACCTTTTATAATGGATTGAGATTCCTGCCTTGCAGGGGAGCTTGGACTAGATTACCCTCCCTCCTAACTCTACAATTCTATGATTCTATTCTTCAGATGGGCGTATCAGATGGGATAATTTATTATTATTATTATTATTATTATTATTATTATTATTATTATTATTATTCCTCTTCCTCTGCTCCTTGGCAAGACTCACCAGTCATTCTCTTGCTCAAAGTAGCAGATGGAGATGAGCCTTGAGCCGCTGCCAACTGCAAACTTGTTCTCTTTGGGAGACCACTTCACGCAGCGAGCAGCGCGGTTGATCCGCAGAATGACCAGCGTCGGCTTCCACACGTTGCCCTTCAGGGTCCACACGTAAGCGTTGCGGTCTGTCCCACAGGTCACGATGCGGTTGCTGTCGGGGGCCCAGTCAATGCCTGCAAAGGACGCCATAGATCAGAGGACCAGAAGGCAGGCCTCGATTACAAGGGCTGCCAAATTTAACGGCGGATTCATCAACAAATAAACAGTGTTTTGTTTTTTAAAAGAAGGCAACGGAATAGTTAGGTAATGTTAGGCATAATGGCCTTACAGGGGTTATGGCTCTTTAGAAAGGTTGTGTGTGTGCCGTTTGGCACACCAGAAGAGGAATCAAAAGGTCCTCACCTGTCACCTGCCCATTGTGCTCCTTCAGCTCATGGACTTTGCTCCACTTTGTCCCGTCTTTCTTGTAGATGTGAACTTCGTGGTTGTTGGGACAGATGGCAAGTTCTGTGGAACAGAAGGCGGGGAAGAGTTTGTGCACATGTTGCGTATTTCGAGTTCTGCCAAGCTTTCGGAGGCTGAGGGCACATTTGGGAGTTTTGGGGGTCTGCCCAGGACACCAGTCACAAATGATCAGAAAGGACTTTTGCCCTGAGCTCCTAGGTCCCTTCCAGCTCTTCCAAAGTTATTTAGCTCCTGAAGCTGCTACGAAACATGTGGTTTTGATTTGCAAATGGGTCATGATTTCAAGGGATGCATCTGTTCATGTGAACTAGCCCTAGGAAAAGGCAGAGAGTAACAGCTTCACATGGGTGCTCTACAGCCTCTTCCCAAGTACCCAAGAGCCTCTTTTCTCTTCCCACCTCCCCTTCTCTGGAAAGGAGAGGCTGCATAACACACCACACGTTTAAAGCACATGGCTTTCCCACAAAGAATTGTGGGAACTGTCATTTGTTAAAGGTGCTGGGAATCATGTCTCAGGAAAGGTTAAGCTTTGGTTCCCGGGAATCTCCAGGGGGAAGCCATGTGGTTTAAATATGCTTCAAGTGTTGTTATGTTTATATTCCTGGGGACAATCATGCAAATCGCAGCCGTTCTTTCAAAACCCTACAGCTGGGGAGCAGGAAGTCCTGCTGGCCGCAATCCGCCAGGGCGTTCTGCTGACCCACAAACAATGGCTGTATTCTCTCTCTCCCCCACTCTCCCACATCTATTCATGCCACGGGCAATCGCTCGCATTCTCTTCTCTTGCAGTTGCTCCCAACCGAGGACTAGATTTGCTGCAAGAACCAGCAATCCAGGTAGCCCCCAGTTAGCAGGTCAATTCTGTGTCCAGGGCAGCTGTCTTCCTGCTCCATCTGATATGCAGGCTGAGACCCTACCTGCCCGCGGACTGTTTCACCAGAGTGGTGCATGCTCTGGTTATCTCCTGCTTGGACTACTGCAATGCACTCTACGTAGGGCTACCTTTGAAGGTGACCCGGAAACTACAACTAATCCAGAATGCTGCAGCTAAACTGGTGATTGGGAGCGGCAGTCGAGAACACATAACACCGGTCCCGAAAGATCTACATTGGCTCCCAGTACGTTTCCGAGCACAATTCGAAGTGTTGGTGCTGACCTTTAAAACGGCCTTGGCCCAATATACCTGAAGGAGCGTCTCCACCCCCATCGTTCAACCCGGACACTGAGGTCCAGCTCTGAGGGCCTTCTGGGGGTTCCCTCACTGCGAGAAACGAAGTTAGAGGGAACCAGGCAGAGGGCCCTTCTCGGTAGTGGCGCCCGCCCTGTGGAACGCCCTCCCACCAGATGTCAAGGAAATAAACAACTATCTGACTTTTAGAAGACATCTGAAGGCAGCCCTGTTTAGGGAAGTTTTTAATGACTGATGTTTTAAGGTATTTTTAATCCTTTGTTGAAAGCTGCCCAGAGTGGCTGGGGTAACCCAGTCAGATGGGCAGGATATAAATAATAAATTGTTGTTGCTGTTATAATTATTAACACTCACTCCCCCTGCAGCGGGAGGGTGTAGCCCCGGCAGGGGGACTCGCAACAACCATCAGCCTCAACCAGAATGGTCAGCAGTTAAAAGATGTTTCTGGAAACCACTGGGGACATTTGGCGGGCTTTTCCAGCTGGATGAATGAATCTCTGCTATGGGTACCAGTTTCGTGTTGTTTTCAAAATATTTTTCCTGGTTTCAGTGCTTCTGTTTTTTTGCTATTTTTACAATGCATTGCCTTGAGACGCTTGTATGGAAAGTGATTACTAAAATTAAACAGTCGTAATGCAAAAGGAAAGGGCTTACGGGTTCTGTCCTTGTTCCAGGCATGACAGCTGATTGGCTCCAGCAGGAAACTCTGATAAGCCATGGCTTCTCAACCTGTACAGAAAAAACAGTTAATTTTTCCTAAGTAACATATTTCAAAAAAGTTAAGGTTGGCTGCAAGTCTTGTGGCCCCTTACCTGGGACCAAACCCCTTTGTGCTCAAAAGGGCTTCATTCTGCATAAGTTATTTTGAGCTCAAAGCTTATAACAAGTATACGATTTCACTGTTAATGTACTTATTTCTTATCCCGCCCTTCCTCCAAGAACCTAAGGCAACATAAATGGTCTTCTCTCTACCATCCCTATTCTTTACCCCCTAACAACCCTTTGAGGTAGGTCTGCCTGTTTACTAGGAGGAATCTGGACCAAACTGCTGGTGAGTTTTCTTGATGATTAAAAAAAATAAAATAACATCTTGCTGTATATAGGTCAAGACCTGAATTTAAGAATGGAAAAATGAGAAATGGAAATTTCCTTTCATTCCTAGTGACGAGAGGACTTTAGTCCACTTTAATTGCACAGACCTAAATTTCCCACTACTGTATGTTCCTGAGTCCTTCCTGCTTAAATCCTGGCAGACTCTTCGTCTTACACCCAGCGGCCTTTGGCTCAGAACGACTATTGAAAGGGAACAAGGCAGTTCTGATAACCTTTCAAAACAGGAAGCTGGCTTGAAAGAAAGAACAGATTTGAAGGGGCTCCCTCGACGTCAGCTCTTAACTTTCACTCAGCCAGTTCCCACTGCTTGACCAAGTCAGACTGGCCACCAGGGCAATCAAGGACAGCAATTCATTTCCTTTGGTGATTGTATTAAATAAGCCATATTGGCAGGAGCAGCTACGGTCTAGCATCAGCCTTCCCTAACCTGCTGCTCTCCAGATGTTTTGGACCACAGTTTTCATCAGATGCAGTCCACCACGGGCAATAGCAAGGGAGAAGAAGAGGAAGAAGAGGAGTTTGGATTTGATATCCCGCTTTATCATTACCCTAGGGAGTCTCAAAGCGGCTAACAATCTCCTTTTCCCTTCCTCCCCCACAACAAACACTCTGTGAGGTGAGTGAGGCTGAGAGACTTCAGAGAAGTGTGACTAGCCCAAGGTGCATGTGGAGGAGTGGGGAATCGAACCCAGTTCACCAGATTACGAGTCCACCGCTCTTAACCACTACACCACACTGGCTCTCAAGGGAGGTGGAAGGTTGTAGAATCATAGAATTGTAGAGCTGGAAGGGACCCCAGGGTCATCCAGCCAAACCCCCTGCAATACAGGGATTTCAGCAAAAGCATCCATGACAGATGGCCATCAACTCCTGCTTAAAAACCTCCAAGGAAGGAGAGTCCACCACCTCCCGAGGGAGACAGTTCCACTGCCGAACAGCTCTTACTACCAGAAAGTTCTTCCTGATGTTTAGCCAGATTCTCCTTTCTTGTAACTTGAAGCCATGGGTTCGAGTCCTACCCTCTAGCCTTGTGAAAGGCTGCCTCTCGCCGACTGCACCCACAGTGCACTTGTATGCTTGTTTACTCAGGATAAACCCTTGCCATCTTCAGTGGGACTTACGGTCCAGTAAAGTACATGTAGGATTACAGCCTGTGTCGTCCTGCTCAGAACGACTTCCGCCCACGAGAATCCTTAGCGTGTGCTTATAATTAGAGAAGGAAGGCGGAAAGAGGAAACAGCTGCATCTTGACGAAGAGCAATTTGACAAATGCCATATAAGGCTAGAAACAGACCCGGCAGGAAGAATCAAAAGTGGAATCATAAGAGACAATTCTGTGGGTGGTGTAACACCAGGTCTGGGCTCTTCGGCTGGGTTCTGTTCAGTCTTGCTTTGCTCTAGCAAGAGGTTGTCTGACTGTGGCCAGAGGAATGGCATAAGCTCCAACCAGGTGGTTCACAGAAAGGTTGTGGAAGGGAAAGGAGTCGTAAACCTCCTTCATCAGCCCTCATGGGAAGGGATGGGGGAGAATTTGCCTGCAGTTCATATTTATAGACAACCTTCGCTAATTCACACTTTCCAAAACAACAGATGAACTGAAACACCGCCCTTCCTTCGAAAGTCACACCTCTCTGAATTTTGCAATGCACATCCAAGTAACGTCTACAAAAACACATACAGTTAATGCACATAATGGTGAACATACAAAAATGCATTGTATTAGGGGAAACTGCTTTGCAAAAATGCAGGTTTTGGGGGGAAGGAAATGGACTAAAATGCTGGTGAATTTTCATGAGCACTTTTTTTAAAAAGAAGAAGAAGAAGAAGAAGAACCACAGACTGATATGAAAATGTGGAGAACTGAAGAATGGGAAAGCAAGAAACTGAAACTGGCATATTTGCCAATCTCTGCTTGTGGATGTTTCAGGAAGTGCAGGCCACTGGTGAGTGTGGCAAAAGTCGATGCGGCCAGACACCCCTACCCAGGGCAAGCAAGAGGGATTTTTCTGCAGTTCAAATGACACATTCCAATCAGGTGAAGTCACCAGAGACTGCTGCTGGCAGAGCCAAGTGTGGTTGGTGTCTTTCAGGTGTGCCTTCCTGCCTGTCCTTGCCACATGAGCCCACTAGAGGGCAGCTGGCCAAAGGCCTCCTCACACCTGAACTCAGGTGTATGTTTTGTTGTTCCGCCTCCACCTGGGCTCAGGCTTGCACGTTTGTAAATTAAGCAAATATTGCAAAGACACTTTAATAAATCACCAGTGGAGTGAGAGTTTTGCATGAGTTTTTAAAGCTGATAGAGAATTCAAAGTTTCCTCTTCTTTTCTTTATTTTTGTTTCTATGTTTAAAAAGTGCTTAGTATTTGATGCTGACTTCTGTATATTGTTTGATTATTTCTCAGAATTACATAAAAATAGCTTTTTTAAAAATAAAAAAAAAGTCTCAATTGCTCTCCTTCATCTATAGGAGACTCTGCCCTGTAAAACTGTGCCCAGAAGTTCTCCTCTGCACAAAACAGTGACAAGAGCAGCAACCACTTCTGAAAAAAGGAATAATCTTTACACAGCTTTATACAAGGCATGGTTTGTCTGTCTCCAGTGGGAATTATGACCAACATCTTCCAGGCAGTGAAGTAATCATAGCTGCCAGACAACAAAACATATAGGATACAAAATATGATGAAATCTCTACCCTACCCAATCCTGGAGGCTTGTTTGTGTGTAGGTGGAGAGCAGATTTATAGGGAAGGATTCCAACTCCCATCAGCCTCAGCTAGCACATCCAATAAACAGGAAAAGGCTGTGACTCAGCGGTAAAGCAGGTCTCTAGCAGAATGATCCACCCTCAGAGGAGTCTCTCTGTCGTATCTCTGCATGAGTTGCTGGAGAATGCGATGGGCTTGGCTGAGTGTTAGTAGCTGTAGGGGGCAGGGAGCTGCAAGCTGGCTGAGTTTCCCCAGTGTCAGCCAAATCCCTGCTGGCTTGGATATGCAAAAGGCATGAGTTGCTGGTCTCCTTCCAGCCAGCCTCCACTGGGGGCAAGTAATTCTCTTACCTTCCTTGGAGGTTTCTAAGCAGATATTTGGAAGGCCATCTGTCATGGATGCTTTAGTTGAGATTCCTGCATTGCAGGGGGTTGAACTAAGGTCCCTTCCAACTCTAGAATTCTATGATCATCTGATTAATTAGACTGACAACATACGTAATTGACTGCCCTCTAGGAGACTCCCACTGCGTCTCTCAATGAGTCACAGTTTTGGTGGACCCATCTCTCTCCAGTTGAGAGAGAAATACCCAGACTCAGAAATATATCTATTCTCTGAAGGCAGGAACTTTCTCCCCTTTTGGTTTAATAGAGGACTGCCAACTTTAATGCCGAAAAAACCAGCATACCTCACCTATCAGAAATTTGTGCAACCTTAGTTCTTCTCTGGAAGCAGAACCCAATTGGGCCAGAGTGCCCCCTAGAGGGAAAAATGTCTCCTGTAGCCTTTTTTTTTCTTTTTTTTTGCCCCGAAGCATGAAAATTAATCACTTTTTACCTTTTTTATTCCAGCACACATGCTATTTTTAGCCACATCTGTGCTTGTGATAGAGTCGAGTCAGCGTCTAGCTTTCTCCTACAGAGCTTGTTGACTACAAAAGCATTCAAATGTGTTGGCACTAAGAACAGAACTTGCACATGGGCACCCAATGCCATGCATTTCCCCATAACTAATTTTTAAAAGAAAGTGTGAAAAGGCTACGCTGGCCACATATTCCAAGTGAAGATGAGCTGGTTGCACATCAGGATAGGAGCAAATAGTTGGGCCTAGCGTGGCGAAGTGCTGCCTTTTATAATGTTGGACTCCCAACTCCCATCTCTCCTTGCCAGCATGGTCGATAGCCAAGGCTGATGGGAGTTGTAGTTCAACATCTGGAGCAGAGCTTTCCGAACTGTGTGTCACGACACGTTAAGTGTGTTCGGCTGCAGTTTGTAGATATGTCACACAAACGCTCCACCTGGGGCTGGAAAGGGCTCTGTTTAGCCTCCAGTTTGCTAGTAAAACTGAATGACTGTGTCGCGAAATGATGCATGTCTAAAAAGTGTCTCACCAACATGAAAAGTATGGAAAGTTCTGGTCTAGAAGACACCACACCCTGACCCCTATGACAGCCCAATCTCCTGCACCCCTCAAGATCGGCACCCCAAAGAGTCAGTTGAGTTGCCTTCCCTTAAAAAAAAACCTTTCGTAGAGCTTGTGACATTGTATGAAATGCTCTAATGTGCAAATCCCAGATCCTTAATCTCCATTAGGCTGTGTACACACTAGATACTTTTAAAGCACATTTGAAATGCATTCCTTCCTGCAAAGAATTCTGGGCACTGTAGTTTATCCTGCAGAGTTACCATTCCCAGCAACTCCTTAGCAAACTACAGAGCCCAGAATTCTCTGAAGGAAAGAATGTCTTTTGAATACGCTTTTAAAGTTATAGCATGCACCCGGCAAGCAACAGCAAATATTAAAACAAAAGAATCTCATGGCATCTTAAAGGCTTGCCATAGCCAGTAGATCTACCAAAATTAATGGACATGCCTCATTCATTTCAACTGGTCTACTCTCAGTAGGGTTTAGCTGGGTACAACCCTAACTTTCTTTTCTTTTCTTTTTTTGCCGTGGTGGGGGGTACTTCTGTAGACTAAAATCAACTGCAATACATGAATTACATTACATTTGATGGTTTTGATGACATGGGCCTCTGCTGCCGCTAATGTTTTTTCTTTAAAGTGCCACATAGCTTTCTGCTGAGCTACTCCTTCCTTTTTATCTTTTAAACCCACAGTGCTGAACACACACATATTTTTTTAAGTACCTTGCACATCGAGGAAGTGGCCCAGCCACAGCTGAAACACATCAGTAATTGCTTAGAAATGTAATAATGCCTCTCAGAGAGAAACTGAGCCTAATTTCTAATCCTAATTCAAAGCAACCTTAAACAGGATTGTTTTAAAACATGGGAAGCTGCCTTATCCTAAGTCAGACTATTGGTTCCTCCCATCATAATAATAATTTATTATTTATACCCTGCCTATCTGGCTGGGTTTCCCCAGTATCTGGGTTTCCCCAGGTTGCCTAGTATTGTCTGCACTGACTGGCAGCATCTCTCCAGGATTAAATACAGGAAATATTTCTCAGCCCCACCTGGAGATGATGAAGAAGGAGAAGAAACCTCCTGCGTGCACAGCAGATGCTCTTCTCCAGATTTTTGTAGGGAATAGACGCAAAACATCAAAAGGCATCCAACACACACACACAAAAACCCAGGTCTTGCTCCTGGGCATTCACAAGAGAGACTTTTCTTTTTCAGAGGGGAGACTATAAATATATAAGTGAGGAGCCGGCTAATTTCTCCCTGCAAACGAGAGCAGCATTTTGCCTCATATCTCAGCTTCTGAAAACATGCTAGAAACTAACTTTTTAAGAAAAACGAAAACTGGAAATGGGGAGGTTGGTAGGGGGAGCGCGATTGCTTCCTCTTTGCTTGCGCGAAAAGCAGCTTTGATTTCAGGGAGAAGCCAAGGGAGGGAAAAACACGACCAACACCGAGTTTAATAAGAAGTTCTCCCGCTAGGGCGCAGCTCTCTCTCCGAGGGGCGCACCTTCGAGGGGAGCCCTTTTCTTACACATTCCTTCTCAGAACATTTCGCCCTCGCTTTGTATTTTGACTTTTCTGTCGTTTCTGCAAGGCTTTTGAAAACCGAAGCCAGCCCAACCTAACGAGAAAAACTGAGGCGGGGAGAGGGCGGAAGGAGTTTGCCTCGCCCGGGGCGCAAAAATATCCTGGTGGCGCCGGGAGAAGGGGGCCGGGGAAGCGGGGCCGGGGCGGCCTGGAGCCCCGCCAGAAGCAGCAGTAGCAGCAGCAGCTCCCTCCGTCGAAGGAGAAGGAGCCGCCGCCGCCGCCGCCACGTCGTGCGGGCATCTTGAGGGAGCCACTTACCTCGACGGCACCCGGAGGCGAACAGGGCGCAAAGCAGCCTGGCCTCTCCTGGCTCCGGGGAAAGGAGGCCCCGGCCGGCCGGCAGCCTGGTTCGCGGACTCTGAGACGTCGACGCGAACCGGCAGCCGCGCTTTTTCCTCTCCTCCTTCTCTGCTCTCTCCGACTTCCCCTTTTCTCCTCAGCTCGAGAGGGAAGGGGGGGGAGGAGAAAATGTGGCCGCCACTTCCTTGCGTGGGTGTGGGGGCCCTGCAGAGAGCGAAGAAAGAGGAGGGAGGGAGAGGGAAATGTGCTTTTCCCCTTCCAGAGACGAGAGGAGAAAAAGCCCGCAGGCCCGAAGCTCACGCTTTGCGAAAAACAAATCCCAAGTTTTGCCTGAGAGAGGAGGAGAGCATGGCTTGGGCTCTTAAGCTAGTGTTTCTCAAACTTGGGTTCCTGTTGTTGGACTACAATTCCCATCATCCCTAACTAGTAGGACCAGCGGTCAGGGATGGTGGGAGTTGTAGTCCAACGACACCTGGGGACCCAAGTTTGAGAAACACTCATGCAGCGGGTCCCAACCTGTGGGTCCCCAGATGTTGTTGGACTACAACTCCCATCATCCCTGAGCTCTGGCCTTGCCAGCTAGGGGTGATGGGAGTTGTAGTTCAACAACATCTGGGGACCCACAGGTTGAGAAGGCTGGCTTAAGCTCTTTGAAGAGTTCACACGCCTACAGCTGAAAGCACACGGTTTCCGCCAAAGAATTACCAGGAATTGTAGTTGAATGGGTGCTGGGAAATGTTGCTCAGCGCAGGAGGCAAACTAGAGTCCCCGGGATTTGTTGGGCCAGGGGGTGGGGTGGAGAGAGGTTTGCATTTTTTTATTGATCTCTTACAACAGATGTGCCGCTTGACCATAGAAAACCTCAAAGCAGATTACAAATAAATAAATAAATACGAAGCCGTAAAATTATCACTGCAATCAATAATTGCATAACGCAGAAAGTTAAAACCACAATAGAATAGAGCAAAATGAATTGAAACGCATACAGACTTTCTAAACATCTGGGTAGTCTTGTCTAAATAAGAATGTCTTCTGCAGGCACTGAAAGTATGTGCTTCAAATGTACTATGTTCATTCTGTGTACTTTAAATGTGCACATTTACTCTGCCCTCCCACCCACTGGTTTGGGATGTGGTGTACACATGGCTCAGATATCTAGCCTGCTTATTCTTGGGGGAATACTGTGCCTGGTTTCTCCGCAAAACCAGGTTCAATCCAAACTGAGAAGAAGGATAACCTTGCTGCAGTTAATTTTTAATTATTTTTTACTTTGTTGCATTGTACACAGCCTAAGGCTGCATACACACCATAGAGTTAAAGCACACACACCCTCCCCCCAAAAGAATACTGAGAACTATAGTTTACCTCTCACGGCGCTGCAGATCCCAGCACCTGGAAACTAGAGTCCCCTTTCAATGTATGGCAATGTACACAACCTAAACATCATAAAGGAATTGGCTGGCTGCGTACACATTGCTATGGCAGCCAGGAGGATATTGGTTATTTGGTGGGAGAGGAAAGAGATGGAGAATCTATGGAACATGGTCTACTTCAGTCATGGGCCCAAGATTTCCTGTGAAACTGGGTTGCATATCTCCAAACTGAGTTGGCCTCAGATGTGAATTGCAGTCGCTCTGGAATCTGCTCCCTACAGCAACTACTTCATATTTTTGATAAGGCCAGTCCTGCCCCGATTCCCCATACAAGTTTTATCTCAGGTGATGTTCTGCGCAGCAACAACCCAACGGCGCCAACGTCTAGGCTGACCACTTACACATCCCCCCGAAAAGAGACACAATTTTGTACAAAATGGGCATGTACTAATTTATAGATGTGTGGATGCAAATTTAGAAATAATTGGTATACTCTGAATGGGGAAAATAATTGCAGCCCACTGCAGACCAGATAAGCCCTTCAAACAGAGAGGTGGGGAATGTTAGATCTGGGGGGCCATCTATCTAGCCTTTGGGAGACACCCCAGGACACCCTGTTCATTGACCCTGCCTCACACCCTCCTTGAGTATATATGCCCAGCTGGAATGTATCTTTTAATTATGACAATAAACTAGCCATCTGTGCACCCACCTTTGCCTCAGGCCCCACCCACCACTGGCACGTTGCCCAGAAGGAGTGCGGGTTTCAGGCTGAGAAAGATTCCCACTTCTGGAAGACACCATCAAAAAGAGAGCTGTATGCACACATTCTATTCTTTAGATAGAATCATAGGATTGTAGATTTGGAGAAGACCACAGGGCTCATCTAGTCCAAATGTACTACAGTGGTACCTCGGGTTCCATACGCTTCAGGTTACAGACTCTGCTAACCCAGAAATAGTACCTCGGGTTAAGAACTTTGCTTCAGGATGAGAACAGAAATCGTGCAGCGGCGGCACAGCAGGCCCCATTGGCTAAAGTGGTGCTTCAGTTTAAGAACACTTTCAGGTTAAGAACAGACCTCCAGAACGAATTAAGTTCTTAACCCGAGGTACCACTGTACTGGCAAGTCAGATCCCACCCCCCATCTTATATTTGTGCAGCTGTTTCTTCCTGCCTAAGTGCAGTACATTTGTCCCTATGGAAATTCATTTTGTTAGTTTGGGCCCCATTCTCCAATCTGTTTAAGGTCACCTTGAAGCCCAGTTCTGTCCTCTGCAGCCTGGGTGACCCCCTCCCAGCTTGCTGTCATCTGCAAATTTGAGGATCTCCTCCAGTTCCTTCACCCAAACCGTTTAAAAAGACAACTGAACCACAGAATGTTTTGTGATCAAAACGACAAATGGGGCAATCCCCCTGGCCCTCCAAGACAATGCTCCCCTCCTCCACCACCACAAACATTTTCTCCGCACAAATTCCATTTCTCTCTGCAGTTTTACCCAAGACTGCAGCCCCTATAACCACCGTTTACCAGGCAGGAAGTCCAATTCATGCAACACAGTGAGGTCTTCCTTCCAACTGAAAGAAATCACACAGGAAGGCCAAGCTACTTAAAGCATTAATTTGAAAGAAAGCTCTCAGCTACCGACAGAAATTACATTCCTTGTACTGTTTCATGCGAACTCACCTCCCCGTAAACTAGCAAAATAAATGCCAAAGGTCTTCTCTGCAGGGCACTTTCTCTCTCCAGCCTGCCAGCTGCTGCTTTTCACTTCCTCCTCTGAGTTGGCCAATAGGCAGGACCTGCCCACCTCCTCCCCCCACCCCAAACCACCACTCCCTAGTCCACAGTTAAAACCATTGAACAAGCGGAAACTGCTGCAGTTGCTAAACTTTGATGCAGTTCTAGAGCTATGTGACAAGCACACAATATAATCCTGATTCGGAGCCTCACAAAAAACTGCAGGGATCTTAGGCAATTAGTGGCGTTGTAGTAATCCCCTTTGCCAGAGTTGGAAAAAAGCTTAAGGGCGCCCTAAACGATCAAGGGCATGGAGCAATTTTGCTATGATTACAGGATTTAGGACATTTTCATCATGAGAAAAGTAAGAAGACAGAGTAGAAGTTTATAAAATTGTGCATAGAATTGTAGGTTTGGAGAAGACCACAAGGGTCCTCTAAGTCCAGGCTTCCTCAACCTCAGCCCTCCAGATGTTTTGAGACTACAATTCCCATCATCCCTGACCACTGGTCCTGCTAGCTAGGGATCATGGGAGTTGTAGGCCAAAAGCATCTGGAGGGCTAAGGTTGAGGAAGCCTGCTCTAGTCCAATCCCCTGCAATGCAGGAATCTCAGCTTTAGCATCCATGATAGATGGCTATCCAACCTCTGCTTAAAAACCTCCAAGGAAGGACAGCCCATCACCTCCTGAGGGAGTCCATTCCATTGTTGAACAGCTCTTACCATCAAAAGTTATTCCTGATTGTGGCGTTTGCCTCCTAGGGTGGGTCAAGGAAAGGGTTAAAATGGGTGTGATGTGATTGGCCAGTGAGAATGCAAAGGGGGAGTAAAAGATAAGAGTGGGAGGTTTTGAAAAGTCAGTTGAGGTTTGGGAGTTGGGAGTTGAGGTTTGTCAGTTGGGAGTTGAGGCTTGGGTGTTGGAGAAGAGGGTGGAATAGGCAGTGGGTTGGTTGAGTTGTATTGTGAGAAGTGAGAGGAATTGTTAGGTTGAGGCAGATAGATAGTTGGATTAATCAGTTTGGAGTTGTTAGGAACTAAGCGTAAGAAACTGACATGAGGAAAAATAAACCGAAACCATACACTTATTCCTGCATTTAAAAATAAACTTGGTTATTTATGTTAACAACTGTCTGGACTCCGTGTGTCCCCGTGAGAAGCGGGGTGGTGGCAGCGAAGAAAGCAACTGCAGTGGTGGCACAGGGTCAATAGACCGTGAAACGTCCGGGGGCCCTGTGTGATCTCCACACTAGTTGAAATCTCCTTTTTTGTAACTTGAAGCCATTGGTTCGAGTCCCACCCTCCAGAACAGGAGAAAACAAGCTTGCTCCATCTCCCATGTGACCAGTCCTCGAGATATCTGAAGATGGCTATCGTACCTCCTCTCTGCTTCCCTTTTCCAGGCCAACTCCCTCATCCGTTCCTCCTAAGACTTGGTTTCCAGACTCGATTAGCTGGGTTGCCCTCCTCTGCACACATTCCAGCTTGTCAATATCCTTCTTAAATTGTGGCAACCAGAACTGGACACCGTACTGGACACCGTTCTCCAGGCAGAAGCGTAGTACCATTACTTCTGGACACCTGACTTTTGTTGATGCAGCATGGAATAGCTTTGGGATGTTTTCTACCAGTTTAGGGTTTTTTTGTGCCCCTTTTTATATATTTTTTAATTTTTTAATTTTAATTTTTGCAAACCTTGGGGTTCCCCCAAGCACGTTGATACCTCCCCCTCTTCTTTCTCAGTAGCTGTGTAGCCATGTAGCCATTATAACTCAGCACCTGAGTTCACTATTATATGACTGGCAGTTCACCATGTGGAGATTGCAGCTTTACTTTAAGCTGAATTGGGAAACTTCATGGCTTCTCCAACCTGTTTCCATTCCTCCAGTCTTTTCATGAGCCCTGCTGTGTGAAGAGAGTCAAAAGAGCTGCTTTGTCTCTCATTTTTGTCAGGGCTAGGCACCAGATCCTGCCGTCCTTGGGTGCCTACCAGTGAGAGTGGCCCTGCCTCCCCCTTTTTCCTGCTCCTGTCTTTTGAGCTGCAGGACCTAGCTTCCATTTCAGAATTTCCCCCAATGCCCCAGAACAGTGCTACACTAGGTTTTGTGGGAAATTAAAAGGGCAACCAACATCTACTTGGAGCACTACTGCTCCAAGGCCCGTAAGTAGAGGCGGCCCACCAGAAGGCAGTTTGCACACAGCCCCTTCCACTGTAGAGGTGATTAGCTGTGCCATTAAGAATATAGGAAGCTGCCTTCTACAATGTCAGATCAATCTAGCTCAGTAAGGTCAACGCTGACTAGTAGCAGCTCTCCAGAATTTCAAGAGTTTTCTCCCAACCCTTACCTGGAGATGCCAAGGACTGAGCTGGGGCCTTTTGCAATGCAGAGAAGATGCTCTATCACTGAGCAAAGTGAAGGTATCACAGAGCAAATGTAAACCGAAAGTGATGTAACTAACATATGGAGATAAGTAGGTAGAGGTTTCATGGCGCAGCACTATCTAGGCCATATTATTACACCATAAACTAATCGCTCTTTCCCAACATTGGATCCAGCTCCTTACATCCCTGGCCATCAGCCATGTTAGCTTGGGGTGATGGGAGCTGAATTGGGACAGCAGACTGGGGGAGTATTTTTTAAACCCCCTTTCTCTATGCTATCTTCCTACACTCCAAGCACCCCTTGCTATTTTGAAAGATGGGGAAAACAAGAGATCGTTACGCATTTCATGTCACATAGTTCATGCCAATCTGAATCTCTTCCACTGGATTATATGTACACAGGAATTTCACAGAGAACATTTGGAGTTTGTTTAAAATTTTATTTTCTAGCAGACATGTTTACACAAAATTCCCCTTTTAAGTTAGTGATTCATACTTCCTGCAATAAACTATTTTAAGGAGCAGCTTTGGCAAAGAATGGAATGAAACAACCAATAATAATAATAAAAACAAAGCCAAATATATACCACAATCACAGCTGATTTTCAAACCAACACATTTCACCAAAATTGGGGGATGAAAAGGAAAAGGAAAAAAATCCACCAAGTCGTCATTTTCTCAGTGCTTCAAAAAGTGACCTATCTTCACCATCCCTTTTCAAGTCTGTGCAGGTGCCAGAACGAGTTGTCTTGCTAGAGAACAGAGAGCCAGATTTACATGATCCGCAGCCCCTGGATCGAGGACTCTAATGTCTAGAAAGAGAGAGAGAGAGAGAAAAACCATTAGCCATGGCTGCTGGGGGGAAGCTGCAGTTCCATGGGAGTGCAGAACAGAATCCAGGGCACAAAATTCAGCTGTGACACTCTGCTGTTATTAAAAAACAAGGAGGTCAGAATTTCCTAGTCCCTATGAGCAAGAAAATGTGCTCAAAGGCGTGCAGGCAATACCTGCTGAAATTTCAGAACACATAAAAGGGGGGCAGGAGGGAGAGAATATGAGTAAGACTTTTCTGTGGTTACCAATAGCAAGGGGGCTTCACTGCCTACCTAGCTAGCTCTTTGCCCCTCTACAGTTTTGGGGCAAAATGCAAAAAACCCAGAATGTGAGAATTCAGCCTTTTGCAGTGCACAAGTTATTGGGAAGTTTTTTTGTGCAGCCCCGACTACAGCTGCAGTCCTAATCCCACTTTCTTGGGTGTAAGCCCCTGCATTCAAAAGGACTTACTTCTGAGTAGACATGGTTAGGATAGCACCTTACCACTGCTATTATGATTATTTTTTATTATGCTGTCTATTTAAGACATGTTTTTAATGTTGTACACTGCCCTGGGATCTTTTCATAAAGGGCAGTACATAAACCAAATAAATAAAATAAATTTTAAAATAAAAATTCATATGAATTGATGCAAACAGTCACATCTAATCATCTAAATGAGTCTGCTCGGAGCAGTTGGAGACAACCCAAAAGTGGCAAATGTCTGCCATTCAACATAGGAGTCAGTATGCAGTTTAACATGGCCATGGCTTGAGGACTACAGCTGTGCAAAGCCATGGCAGGAAATATTAGCCTCCAGTCCCCCAACTTCAAGTCTTCCTGTCTAGATCCTGGAATCTCAGGAGACACTGATGAGACAGAGACACCTACTGGGCAGTTAAAGGAAATGACAGGAAGGTTGCACATGCTGAGCAAAATTCATTTAAGCTCCCCCGCCCCCCCGCCCCATTCAGCACTCTATTGCAAGAACAGGAAACAAGAGAAGAAAACCATGCACTGTTTTGTACACTTTCCCCCTGTGCATGCAGCGCAGCTTTCAGTGACCCTGTGATCCTCCAGCAGCCTGCTGTGTAGGGAAACCAGAGGACCTACATGGGAAGCTGTCTTAATACTGTTTGTCCATCTACTCTGACCAGCAAACACTCTGCAGAGTATTGGGCAAAGTTGTTCCACATCACTTGCTGTAAGAGATGCCAGGGACTGAACCTGGGACCTTCTGCAGGCAAACCATACTGTGGCATGCACAGTTCTTCCAGTTAGAACAGGACATTGGCCTTATCCAGCAGGTTCTTCTATTAAGAACAACTTAAGGAAGTTCATAGTAGGAGTTACATATCCTTTTTTTGCATCCTCCCCCTGCAGCCAGTTGTGCCCCTGAAAAACCTCTCTTGGGGTTGGGGGCCTTCTTGAACAATGTGAAACAGGGTGCAGGAGAATCATCCAAAACTGGGTGGATGGGAAACTTTTCTTCTATTCATTTCCTTAAATTGATTTCTTAGGATCCAAGGCTTCGCCCCCAGTCCTAGCCACAGCTGGATTATTGCAAAAAGCCAAGCAGAGAGGGGATGGAGGACAAACAAAGCACTACCGAAATTCCTAAAAGGGACAGAAATGACCCCGTTTAACAAAATTAGTCTTGAGTAGCACCATCTGCCAAATAAGCCCTTTGGGGACAATGCCCCCAAAGTTTGACAACAGTATCCCCAGGTCCCTATTACTAAAACGATTAACCCTAGTGCTGGCCTACAAGATATTAACAGCAGGGTGCTAATTTGGTGTGGGCAGTGTTGTCAAAACAGACCTTGAAGTCCCAGATGGTCATTGCTCCATCAATACCAGTGGTGCAGAACTT